AACTACCATTCGTAATTTTTACTTTTCACCCCTTCAGAACGGGAAAGTCGAAAAGTAGAAGTTACGACAAGATGCGAGGCGATAGCATGCTATACAAGCCAAAATTGAATCGAAAGTAGGAAATTAAGAAATAAACACACCCCAATAATAGCGCCCCTCGTTTTTTCTTAATTTCTAATTTTTCGACTTATTTTTGTTTATATATGTGTCAATAAGGTCGCCAACACGCATACCAAGCGAAAATTTAACTCGAAAATTAGAAATTAGGAAATAAACACATTGCGCTATGCAACCTGTCATTTTGACATGCTGTCATGATTTTGGCTTGCTGTCATGCTATAACTTTTCGTGTTTCGCCTCGGAAGTTGTTTTAGTCTCTATTTTCCAGGTCGCATTTGAATACGTGCAATCAGCACTCACACTGGCTTTCATTTTTTTCCCCCAAAATGGATGATAATTTTTATATAAAAAAATGTCTGATAAAAAAAATACAACAAACAGCAATTTATGATGTAGGCCTATTATAAAACAATTGTCCGTACCAGTATATATAATAATCAACATCTTACAAAATCCGTCTTACATGGGAGTCGGGTGGTCTAGTGACTTAACACATCTTCGTGAAATCGCAAGGTCTGTCATTGATTCAAGTGGCGTAATTTCGATTCTCTGCTTGAATGGTCACCAGTCCAACCTTGTGTGTTTTCTCCCGGTGCTTGTTTCCCCTCTCTCTCTTCCTCTCTCTCTCTCTCTCTCTCTCTGTTTCTCTCTCTCCAATGGTTCTAAGATTTCCTATGATGGGGATATAATTTGAAATAAAAATACACAACTGGGATATCTTGCATGCCATATGAAGTCACAGTAAACGAAATTCAACTATCAAATATGACCTGTAATGTAGAGACTACATCAACTTCCAAGGCAAAATTCGACAGCACGACAGCAAGCCAAAATCATAGGTCGCTAATATCACCATCAATACTAGATTTTATCACACAGACCATTTTGTTGACGCGAATTGCATGTATTCAAATGTGACCTGGAATGTAGAGACTATAACAACTTCCAAGGCGAAACTCGAAAACTCAACAGCATGCCAAAATGATAGAGCGCAAATAGCGTGGTGTGTTAATTTTCTAGTTTCTTGGTATGCGTGTTGGCGCCTTCTTACTGACATTAATGAATACAACAATATGATTAAGTCAAAAGTCGACAACATGTATACAAGTCAAAATGCAAGTCAAAAATTAGGAAAAAAAAACGAGGGGCGCTATTATCGCGGTGTGTTTTTTATACGCCCACATTTTCATGTGGACGTATTATGCCATCGCCCCTGTCCGTCCGTCCACAATTTGTTTGTGGACACTCTACAGGTCACAATTCTTATCCTATTTTGACAAAACTTGAAATATAGGTTTATCTCCAAAAGATCTCGGTTATTGGCACATATCGGATCGAAACTTCATGGATTATGGCCCCTGTTTGTACGAAAAATCACGTTTTTAGCTTGTGGACACTATAGAGGTCACAATTTTTATCCGATTTTGTTGAAACTTGAAATGTAAGTTGATGATCCAAAGATCTCGGTTCCTTTCGATATTCGCGCATATCGGACCTTAACTTCCTGAATTATGGCCCCTGATTGTACCAAAAATCGTGTTTTTAGCTTGTGGACCCTATAGAGGTCATAATTTTTATCCGATTTAAAAAAACGGTCAATTATATCACTGTTACACCCTAAGGATGGCTGAGTTCGAAAATCGGCCCGAAATTGACAGACAAAATGGCCGTCGTTCGTTCTCAAATAGCATAAAAATATGGTATATCAAGGTTGTGGACACTATAGAGGTCACGATTTTTATCCGATTTTCTTGAAACTTGAAATCTAAGTTGATAATCCAAAGATCTTGGTTCCTTTCGATATTCGCGCATATCGGACCGTAACTTCCTGAATTATGGCCCCTGATTGTACCAAAAATCGTGTTTTTAGCTTGTGGACCCTATAGAGGTCATAATTTTTATCCGATTTAAAAAAACGTTCAATTATATCACCGTTACACTCTAAGTATGGCTGAGTTCGAATTTTGTGAAAATCGGCCCGAAATTGTCAGACAAAATGGCCGCCGTTCGTTCTCAAATAGCGTAAAAATATGGTATATCAAGGTTGTGGACACTATAGAGGTCACAATTTTTATCCAATTTTGTTGAAACTTGAAATCTAAGTTGATAATCCAAAGAACTCGGTTCCTTTCGATATTCGCGCATATCGGACCGTAACTTCCTGAATTATGGCCCCTGATTGTACCAAAAATCGCGTTTTTAGCTTGTGGACCCTATAGAGGTCATAATTTTTATCCGATTTAAAAAAACGTAGTATTATATCACCGTTACACTGTAAGGATGGCTGAGTTCGAATTTCGTGAAAACCGGCCCAAAATTGACAGACAAAATGGCTGTTCTCAAATAGCGTAAAAATATGGTATATCAAGGTTGTGGACACTATAGAGGTCACAATTTTTATCCAATTTTGTTGAAACTTGAAATCTAAGTTGATAATCCAAAGAACTCGGTTCCTTTCGATATTCGCGCATATCGGACCGTAACTTCCTGAATTATGGCCCCTGATTGCACCCAAAATCGTGTTTTTAGCTTGTGGACCCTATAGAGGTCATAATTTTTATCCGATTTAAAAAAACGTTCAATTATATCACCGTTACACCCAAAGGTTGGGTGAGTTCGAATTTCGTGAAAATCGGCCCGAAATTGACAGACAAAATGGCCGCCGTTCGTTCTCAAATAGCGTAAAAATATGGTATATCAATGTTGTGGACACTATAGAGGTCACAATTTTGATCCGATTTTGTTGAAACTTGAAATCTAAGTTGATAATCCAAAGATCTCGGTTTCTTTCGATATTCGCGCATATCGAACCGTAACTTTCTGAATTATGGCCCCTGATTGTACGAAAAATCGCGTTTTTAGCTTGTGGACCCTATAGAGGTCATGATTTTTATCCGATTTAAAAAAAAACGTATTATTATATCACCGTTACACCCTAAGGACGACTGAGTTCAAATTTCGTGAAAATCGAAAATCGGCCCGAAATTGACAGACAAAATGGCTGCCGTTCTTTCTCAAATAGCGTAAAAATATGGAATATCAAGGTTGTGGACCCTATATAGAGGTCACAATTTTTATCCGATTTTGTTGAAACTTGAAATGTAAGTTTATAACCCAAAGATCTCGGTTCCTTTCGATATTCACGCATATCGAATTGTAATTTCCTGAATTATGGCCCTTGATTGTAGGAAAAATCACTTTCTTGTTAGCTTGTGGACCCTATAGAGGTCATAATTTTTATCCGATTTAAAAAAACGTAGTATTATATCACCGTTACACTGTAAGGACGGCTGAGTTTGAATTTCGTGAAAATCGACCCAAAATTGACAGACAAAATGGCCGCCGTTCGTTCTCAAATAACGTAAAAATATGGTATATCAAGGTTGTGGACACTATAGAGGTCACAATTTTTATCCGATTTTGTTGAAACTTGAAATGTAGGTTTATAACCCAAAGATTTCGGTTCCTTTCGATATTTGCGCATACCGGACCTTAACTCCTTGAATTAGGCCCCTGATTGTACGAAAAATTGCGTTTTTAGCTTGTGGACCCTATAGAGGTTATAATTTTTATCAGATTTAAAAAAACATTTTATTATATCACCGTTACACCCTAAGGACGACTGAGTTCGAATTTCGTGAAAATCGAAAATCGGCCCGAAATTGACAGACAAAATGGCTGCCGTTCTTTCTCAAATAGCGTAAAAATATGGAATATCAAGGTTGTGGACCCTATATAGAGGTCACAATTTTTATCCGATTTTGTTGAAACTTGAAATGTAAGTTTATAACCCAAAGATCTCGGTTCCTTTCGATATTCACGCATATCGAATTGTAATTTCCTGAATTATGGCCCTTGATTGTAGGAAAAATCACTTTCTTGTTATCTTGTTCTCTATCCATCTCTCGAAAATGTGGGCGTATCCTGCCTGGCAGCCGCTGGTTTTATTTGGTTTGGGGGAGGACGAGAATCTCGAGAGTGTGTTTACATGTATCACCTTTTTGTCTGAAAAACAGATCTTTACTTTCCATAGTATACACCAGGTTTTTTTTCTGTTGTGCACTCCCCTTTCCAAAATCCTGTGTCAATATTTGCCACCAGTTATCGACCTACCAGTGCTCAATTTTTGTTTGGACCAAATCTTGAAATTGATGGAAGGCTTTACCTCTGTGCATTTTTATGCAATAAAAATTATCTTGTTTCATCTTATCCACACATTCAGAAAGTCATATGATTACTTTTTTCAAAGATAACCAATTTTTATTTTGACAAGAAAAAATATATAGTATTTATTTATTGTTCCTAATTTTATACATAACTTCAAATTTAGTATATTATACACATATGTCTGGACTCCAGACTCTGGAGGTCATTGCTTATTTGTCGACTAATGGATTCATACTACAGACATGCTGAACTAATTTGAACCCATGAATGGCTTACATTTGAATTTAGTAATGGTCCAGTGTTTGTAAGGTAGAAAACCTAGTAAAAAAAAGTATAATTTTGTCATGTTTGTTAAATTCTGTTGAAATCTGTACTCTATTAGTTGTGAAGTTCAGCCAAAAAAGCGGAATAATGGAATCGTCTAAACAGTTGAGTTAGCAGATGGTTTATATAGATTTGAAGAGTAACCTAATATATCTTCTTTCCCCTTCAAACTACATGGGTTGAAGGAAGGTTGTACCAAATAATTCAATAATCCAGATGGTAATGGCAGTGCAAATTTATTTTGTGAAAAATAGAATACTTAATTAAGATGAACTTTCAGAAACAAATTACATAAGAATTTAATCATTAATTATTTATAGCTTTCTATTTGAATGTACTGTACACATGTATAACTGATGGCTATTTTTTTTTCTTAAATCTATTTGCAGCACACCACAGAAGAAGTGCAGTTGAATTGTTAGCAGCAAGTAAACCACAGTTTGTTAAAAGCACACTAACTTTAAACGAAGACTTTGAGAGAGACAAAAAGTAAGTAAAATTGAAATTATATGGATAATATTTCTAAATTTCTTACATGTATTAAATTAACAAAAATGGTTTTCTTGGAATACATTATTTACATTTGATCAAATCAGTTATAAAACTTGTTATTTTAGATTAAATCCAAACCTGTCAAAGTCTCCATTGAGATGTAAATCCGAATATGATTTGACAAAAATTAGAGATAGTCAGTGGACACAAGATAATATTGATGAACTGGATGGTGAAAATGTCGGGTCAGAGAAAAAGTTAACTGTTAAGGCTGTACCTTATATCCACCGACCTGTGAGAAGAAAAATCAATATGTCTAACCAGAAAAATCTAACAGAGTCGGCTACCACATCACACAACCTAGAGAATTGTAGAATAAGTGAACAGTCAGATGATCCAAATACTGGACAAATTCTACGTAAATATTCTTCTTCGTCACTGTCTTCAACGGTTATAATGTCTGATGAAGAAAAAATGGTAGTGGACAATGTTATGACATTAAGTACTGATATGAGTTCGACCCAAGATGTGGATATGGATTATAAAAGTAGTTTTGTACAACGTTCTCATTCAGATTTGAGCTGTCAACATTCTCGGAATAGTTCTATTGTGTCTGATCGTAGCAGTGCCAGATATTCACGTGCAAGTGCAGATTTGGAAAAATTCTTCAACGGAATGGGTATTGAGAGAAATATTCTCGACCCCATGTTACGAAGACAGGATACCACCTCACAAAGAGATTTAGACATATTTGAAGGAGTCAGTTCATTGGATTCACCGGATACTAGGAGTGTTTGTAGTGGAGTTTCAAAATTAAGTGAAAAAACTTTTTCAAGTTCTGATTGCTCGGAGAGAACTCTACAATCTACATCAGTTGTAGAAAGGAATGCACGCATCATTAAATGGTTATGCAACATTAAAAAAGCTAAACAACCCTTGACAAATGACTGATTTCTATGGGTATTTTTTTTTGTAATTTTGTGTATCACAAGTGCTTTCACGTTACTGTTTACTGTAAAAAAAATCCTGCACCAAATCAAAGAATGACAGTGTGTTGTTTATAGAGATGATTGTTTTATTAGTTGTTATGATGTCAGCATATTGTTGAGATTATTATTTTTTATTGTTATGGGCGTCTACAGTAATTTTTGTACCAGGATGTATCAGGTGGCTTTTTCCCTGAAGGTAAAAATGGACTGGCAAATGTAGACATAAGAATAAACTATGAGGAAAATAATACCAGACACTGGTTATGTAGGCAATTTAATATGTACACAAATTTATGTCCTATCTTTTATATCCGTACAAAAATGTAACCAAAACCCATAATTGTCTGGGTCCTGGGCCATTATATTGATTTTCCTAACTGAAGTTTTACTCAAATTCAATCATTTAGATTATGCGATTCAAATTACTTTTTGTATATTAGTTTTGACACATAAGTTTGACAAGTAAATGTGTTCAAAATTTTATTTATTTAGACTTTTATATTCTACGTAGATATTCTTCTTCGTCACTGTCTTCAACATTTATAATGTCTGATGAAGAAAAGATGGTGGTGAACAATGTTATGACATTAGCTTTTAAAACCCTGGGCTCTGATCTGTTAGATATACATTATGGAAATTGATTTATTTTTAAATATATAATTAGTACAATTCAAGGTGGTAGCTAGTATTACAGATATTTATAAGTAGCCAATTATATTTAATGTATTATATTTTGTTCATAGTGAATAAACTAAATGTATTTGTATTTTTATACCGTTTGCATTTGTGATGAAGGCTTCCAATTTCCTATCTCTCTATTTTGTTGTTTCTGCTGGTTTTTGAAATATTATTTTAAGCCAAATCTGGAGGTAGATAATCTCTTGTTTCTATCTTATAACTAAAATGATGCAAATTTGTTTTATTTTTATACTGAGGTAATTTAATTTAAATGAAACTTTAGATTATGAATTGTTTGCAGAGAATATATATGTCAAAATTGACAGCAATATTTTATATACATGTATCTGTGAGAGTATCCCCAGAGAAGTATAAACATGGAATGCTAATTATAGAAAACAGTCTGATAGTTTTTTTTAATCCAAGATAATATCTCTGTCTCAGACTCTCAGTGTTTTTGTTTACAAAATGAAGCCACATGAATAAGTTACATCTGGTGTAGTATAAATGAAATTGCTGTAAATTTTGAATAAAATGGCATAACCTCTTCATTTTATTGTAATTGCCAGGTTAATTAAATTTGATGTTTTTGGTTTGATTTGTGGAGTAATAATCTGTCTACGCTTAATTTTAGATCTACTGTACAGATGGATTCAGCATTGATATTTCACTGTTTTTGTGTTCAGCTTTAGATATTCTAAGCAAAAAAAAACAAAACTAACAGTTAACAAAACCTCTTCCACATAGACATACAGGCTTGATGACTGTTAGATGAGTAGAATCCGAAATGCCCGAAAAATTTCGGTTACATACGGCGGTCTCGGTCTTCTGCGAGAGGCAGAGGAGACGAGCTTACCATGTAGGGACCCCTGAAGAAATTTTGGAAAATTTGACGGTCACTAATGCGTTTTCCTGCTGTTCCAGCCTGTGAATATAGCAACTTCAAAGTGGTCTAATATAGCCTAATTTAGGTGGCTTACTCAAATTCCAATCAACCTATCAACTTCAATATGGTCCAATATAGCCTACCTTAGGTGGCTGACCTGAATCCCAAACATCCAACCAATCATTGCAGGTTATGGGGCCCGCGCCCTTCCAGAGAAAATTTTGAAAATTCAGACCCCGCAAATCCGTTTTTATGCTATTCTAGCCCATGAGCTAAGCAACTTCAAAGTTGTCCAATTGTTTTGTAACTGAAATCCGACACTATGTCGACCTGAATTCCAACCATCCAATTAGACTGTTGCAACTGCATTCAATAATAATAATCGATGCCCGAAAAATGTTGCACAAAGTAGAGTGGATCCAGACAAAGGGTTTTAATCCATAGTCAGTTCAGTACAAATTTGTGATATTCGATTAAAAGAAAAGTAAAATTAGTGTTTTATTAGATCTTGGGCACTTTATTTTGAAAACTAGCTGAAATAATAATTTTTGTTTACATTTTATCCGTCTGCAAGAAAAGTCAGATTGCCCAAAAGTTAGGGGGTCAGCTGCCCGCCTTCCCCCTATGCACTTCTATTAAATATGCTGACATGAAAATGTTGTTGAGTGCAGTTTACCTCATCAAATAAACATGAAGATTGATCCAGTCACTCATTTTATTTCTGATGTCTGTCTGTATGCATTTACCTGGTATATGTTATTTTAATAAAGATCTTTTTTAATTCATATTATATAATTATCCTTGGGATATTAAAAATGTATATTAATTGTATTTTTGATCTTGGCTGTAATATATTCAAAAATCAATGCAGAATTTCCACTAGTTTCATCCATCAAATGGGCTGTACTTCTGTGATTTTAATATAACTAAAGGTTGTGTGTTGTTTTGTTGTTTTCAAATTAAACACTTCCATGTCTTACATGAAGGTTTGTATAAGCTTACTAAATACATGCAAAATATATAAAAGTTCTCAGTGATATGTTAAAATGCAAGTTTAACTGTTTTTTATTTATTATTTATAGACCTGTAATAGTAAACAGGCATTATGTAAGAGCTAAATATGCCTATTGCAGGTCTTAAATTTTGTTATATAAATTATTAACATGACAAGATCATAATCAACTCTTGGTGCCATCGGATGGCTCTGTTTTTAAATAGATTAGAATAGTTCAGCCATTTAATGATTTAATTTAAAACTGGAGAAGCGAGGCTAAGACTCGAATGACCAGTACTGATCAATGATATGTATTCCATGTAATTACATCTAAATAACAATAATATATGATGCCATGAAATGAAGACCATATCCAAATAGAATTGTGATAATGTAGTAAAAGTTGAATATGGAGATTTTTTTTATATTGGTTTATTATAATTGTTTTTTTATTTATATATATCCATTAATAACCAAGTTACGTAAAACAAAAGCTGTTATAAACAAGAGTATGTCTTGAAGTTCTATTGAAGTGGGTTTTGTAAATTGTATATATTATAAGAAATAAGAGATTAATTAAGAAAACACAGTGTTTAAGGTCATGAGACAAAACAATCTATTGATTTTCAATAATTTCCAGTATATACTGCCAGGGTTATGGCCCTTGCTTACTTAAGAAAAATTTTGGGGATGTCTAGAGACCAGTGTTATCATCTGATTGACATTATGTTTCTACACACTGTTTAAGGTAATGAGACGTAGATGCCTAAGATTTTTAACTATTTCTGATAATTAGGCTACTACCAGAGTTATGGCCCTTATTTGTTTGATTGTCTTTAATTGAGGTAATATTAAAGGATTTTCTGTTTGGTAGATGGTGTAGGTATGATGAGTTGTCTGGCAACATATGTTTAACACTCAAGTAAATATATCAAATTGTATTCAAATGTTTTAGGAATATTATAATAGCTTGGTATTACAATGGCTTGGAGAATATTTAATCCCAAAGGAAGAAGATGATTATTATTAGATTTATATTACTGTATGAGTTATATTAGTATAATAATTGATTAATTGCAAGACCATTTGTGAAATAATGGCTTTATAGTAATATTTTATAGATTTATGGATAATTATTTAATATGTAGATTATAACTAGGTCATGTGCCTTGTATAATGTCAGAAATACAGCTTTTTAAATCTCATTCATTGCCAAGCAATCAATCTATTACTGAAATAAAGAGGATACATTTCATGTATGTTATTCACTTTTATTTATATATAAAAATCTGAAGAAAGAGAGAAGCAAAACATTAAAAGATTGGTGCGAATGATGAACATTTAAAGTGTTAAAGGTATCTGCCAAATCATAATTTACAAACGGTCTTTTATCGGTGAAGCAGAATAAAAGTAATACAGTTCAAAAGGTGCATTACCTTGAAAATTGTGTGTGTGAGACCATCACAGAAAACTATAGTTTAGAGACACTCCTCTAACACATACTATTAGGCTGATTTAAAAGGAAAAATTAATACTACACTGTGATTGGTAGAAAATATCACATTATCAGATCTTAATAGTAGACAGGAGCACCATAAAAGATTAAATTTACATATTTTCAACTTCTGTGCAAAACAAATGTAAATCCTTGGGTCATTTTCGACTTCTCCAGGAGGATTGGTTGGTCTGATGCTTGCACTTTAGATCATAAGGCTGTCATTGAGTTAAGTGGCATGGTTTTGATCCCAAGCATTTATGTGACAAGAAGTAAAGACCCCCTACTAGCCCCATAATTTTTGTCCCCCGCCTTTCGAAGAAAGCAGGGGTTATTAACATGGGTTCTTCCGTCAGTCGGTCTGTCTGTCCGTCACACTTTTTAGGACACAATAACTCTCTAATTGAGGTAGAATGTTCAAATTTGGTGTAGGTGTTTATTAGATCAATGCCTTGATGGATTTCAAAGATGAGCATTTTCTGCTTAGGGTAAGCAAAGATAAGCAATTTGATTGGTTGATGCTTTGAGACACAATAACTTTAGTTCTAATTAAGTGAGAGTGATGAAATTTGCTGTATAGTTTCATTAGATCAATACCTTGACTAAGTTTGATAATGAGCATTTTCTCAGGGTAAGCACAGCGATAAGCAATTTGATTGGTTGAGACTTTGGAATACGATAACTCTCCTTCTAATTGAGGTAGAATTTTCAAACTTGGTGTAGGCGTTCTTTAGGTGAATTCCTTGAAGGAGTTCGATGATAAACATTGTCTGGTTATGGTAAGCAGAGATAAGCAATCTCATGGGTTGATACTTTGGCGCACGATAACTTTGGTTTTAATTAAGTGAGAGTGATGAAACTTGGTGTATAGATTCATTATATCATTACCATGACTAAGTTTGATGATGAGAATTTTCTGCTTAGGGTAAGGATCGATAAGCAATTTGATTGGTCAAGACTTTGGAGCAAAACAACTCTGCTTTTAATTGAAGTAGAATGTTTAAACTTGATGTAGACGTTCATTAGGTGAATGTCTTGACTGAGTTCAATGATTAACATTTCCTGCTAAAGCTAAGCAGAGCTAAGCACTTTCATTGGTCGATCCTTTGGGATAAGATGACTTTGATTCTATCTCATAGACAGTGATGAAACTTAGCGTATAGGTGATAATCTGTTTGATTGCTTGATACTTTTACAAAAAATAAATGTGCGATGTATGAATATGTGTCATCTATTTATTTTGGGATTTCGGCGAGGGACATCAGCCTCACTGTTGGCTTGTAGAAGAAAGCATTAATAGCCTTACTCTAGGTAAGCCCACTTGGACACTTGCATTATGACATCATTATGTTTATGGATGAGTAAAATTTTTCCTGCGTGTTATATATCAATTCAATTTTTCCTGAATTCCTGAGATCAGTGAGTGGGTGTATGTTACATATGGGTGTTTACGGTATTGAAATTAATGCAAGACATCATTAATCAGACTTCCAAGCCACCTTATTGTATTATAAATTTTAAGCCTGTGAAGGTCAAGAGGTATGACCACTTTTCACTGGGTTTAATGACCCATGGCCATGACCCTAATTTCAACTAGTGGAACAATGTCACCTAGCTCTCAAAAAAAAAAGCTGACAAAACATATTGGCCTGCAAGAAAACTCATACACTTCTGACTAAAATCTTATATAAATCTGCACCGTGAATAAATGAATAAATAAAGACAATACATGTGTGACTCCTAATACATTTATTTAATGCCATGATAACTAAAAAAGACATATATAAATTAAGTAAATCTAAATATCATTTCAATTGAATGTTTATACACTGTTATCACAGATATGCTATGATGAGCTACAGCAAATATTTCGATGAATTAAACAATTATGCAGAATTATTATAATTCACTGTAAAGCACATAAAATGCAATGATATATCAACACAACCATATAATCTCAAATTACATCAAAAGGCACAAAAATCTTTAATGCATTTAAAATATAAACAAACGTACATTAATAATAAATACAATTGTGGTGCCATCTCATAATTAAAACTTAAAACTTCAACAACAAATAATCAATCTAAGTTTAATTTATCTTAAAGTTAAATTATCTATAATTTAATCATCTCAAAGTGGTTTGATCAATTCAGGGAGTTCAAAGATAATAAACTTTATTATATAGAGGTCAAATGTTAGTCAGATTGATGAATACTAATAAATCTTAAGGAACCAGCCTAATAATTTTCAATAACAGATACAAATTTTGTATTTGTAAATAACTATATTTTAAAATCCTGCCACTGGCAATAAATAAGACATTTTCTCTATTTGTGATTTTGCATATTTACATAAATTTTATAATGTGGTGTTGAAAGAAAAGAGCATGATATCTCTTACCATACTGAAACATTGCAATATTGCAAAAGGTGGTCTTGCAGATTCATACTTTGACCTGTAATTAATCAACTACAGAGAGTTTTTGATTCCACATTAAAAATGTCATTTGCTCCAGTAGTTTATTTTAAAGTTGCTTCTATTCCCTTAACATGCTCGCATAGATGGTACTGTAATATTAATATAATTCCTAATACCAGTACTATATAATTTCATAATTTCCAGAGTAGATGGAAAATTAACAATTCCGAAGGGTTTTTAGTTTACAGGTACTAATTAATTGAATAAAAGGAGTTTAGAAAATGTGATACTTTGTAATGTAAAATATAAAACATCAATATGATGTGTGCCTATAGGCTAAAGGCATGTGTGCATACAATAATAGCTTATAGCATAGGTAAATAATATCAAATCTCGGTTTGCACCTTGGAAATAAAGGTTTGTGTATCCCATATAATATTATTAATACTGTACTAACAAATAATAACACAACAAATAAACCTATACATCTTATTAACTTTTGAATCTACAACAATTTATAACATCTATAAGGCATTTGTACTGTACCCATACTATTAATATCTATAAATATTTAATCTAAATAAGTATATAATCATCTAAGAAGTGATGAAAAATTATCTAAGATGTGGGTGGAGTGTCCTTGTCTTCTGCTTTTTGGATAAACCAAGGCGTATTGGACGAGAGCATGTTACCAATGGCTTCATGTATAGGTTTCCACCATCTAATTCTGAAATGAAAATAAATAAGTTTCCAGTTTCTGTATCCTTATCATAGGAAATATTTATTTCATTAATAACAATTCACATCCTAGCTAATGAAACAAATATCATTTTGTAATTTAATTCATATGATGAGATTTAGTAACACTATTAATATTACATCCTTTTTCATGTAATTTGAATGCTGGTAATGTAACTAAATAGCTGTATACAGATTTACAATAATTACATGTCGAAACAGTTGTAGACTTAAACGAATGTCAGCTACATAAAACCACTACATCAATGTCAAAACATCCAGTCAACAATATAGGAAAAAAAAGTTATCTCCCTTGACACATCATTTTGGCATTGATTGTGAGAGAGAACTAGGCCATTTCGGGACTAACATGATTCCATTTTATTTCAATAATTTGCTTGCCCGTAGGGGTCTTTAGCAGAGGGAGGAAACCGGCGGAGGACCTGGAGAAAACCTAAGAGGTTGGACAGGCGACCTTACTCCTTGTCACGTACAACCAGGGTATCGAAACCACGGCAGCTGACTTAATGACAAACCCTAACTGTTCAGGCATCCATCCCCTCGGGCATTGTTTGGAATAAGAAAGACATTACTCTTGGTTACATTACCAAATTTAGATAAAAACATGATATTCATAACCCTTTTTCATTAAAAAGCCTGTGTAATGTTTTACACATAAAACTGATAATTTTTGGCCATAAAACTTTGTAAGTCATACTGAAACAGTATATTGTTATTAATATAGTGTGGAATATTATATATTAAGAATAATAATAATATTGTATATTTATATCGTGTCTGTTCTATCCACAAATGCATGCTCAAGGATTCTGGTCTTTTTACACAATTTATTTGAACTTATTTTATGTAAGATATTAAAGAAATACACCCTGAGACGGTAGATCATCTGTCGACCTCCTTAACTTATTTTTAACACATTTTTCAACTGAAACCAATAATAAATGAAACTAGTCAATTATATTATTACAAAGTGTTAGTCACAGAGTCTGTAACTGATAACTATATGCATTACTGAAAAAGGGGAAATGATTTTCTGCTTTAAAAAATGGGAAATTCCGTTTTAAACATTGTGAATTCCATTTTTATACGTTTATGAATGGAACTTTCCATTTTTTTCAGTTTTATGTTATAATAACAATTTTGATACAGTTTGGCGGTTGGCCCTATTTACAGTGGAAATTTGTATTATTGAGTGGGCTTGTGTCAGCAGTCAGCCTTTTATCAGAATACTGCATAGTTCTTTGTGCAGTGTGCCATGTGCAAGTATAGATTAATTTACCAGAAGTCATCATAAGGGAATTCCCTCTTAGTGATCAGAATGAGGCGACCAGAATTTTGACAGAATTCCATTATTGGATAGGAAAATGAAGCTATTTACATTTCAAGAAACTAAACTTGATGCTTTTTTTGCGAGGGGGGGGGGGGGCGATTTACGAACATAAATATGTGTATTTTATGATCACATTTATAGATTTTTTTAAAAACTTTCTTTTCCGTGATATTCCATTTCAGATTGTAAATACTGTTTCAAATGCGAGATTCCCCTACATTTTCTCTGTAATATTGTAAATTCATCAATCCAACTAAAATCTTGCCTGGTAACCCAAATGCTTGTAATTCATTATCTTACAAGTGTACTACATTATGTTGGAGATGTCAAAATTTGTAGTTGTCAAAATAGCTTCTCCCTTGAATTAATTTGAAAGACAGTGTTTTTTATAAGAAATGTTCTTTCCCTGGCAGGTTGGATATGTTTTCCACTCAGTGGTTATCTGTTTAATCCATATACATGTAATCATAACAAATAAATGATCTTTTACCCTAAAACCAATAACCAATGAACTTCAAACTTAGATTAGGACACAGCAACACTTACATAAATCTTAAAAATTTAATTTGTGCTGAGAATACAATTTAAAATAAAACAATTACAGGTTTGAAGAAATGGTTGATACATCTATGCATATTTTGTGCACTTCAGTAAAATGCAGCATTGGCATATTCTGGAGTGCTATTTATAAATGTCTATTCTAAGATTTGGAGTAATATTATGTCTCAAACACCCACTTACCTGACTGCATTTCACATCCATTCATTTCTGTTTGCTTGCAAGTGAAGGTTGGATTCCATTTGAAACATGTTGAGATTGGTAATTCACTGTGATCTAGTTTCAACATGCCTACAGTTGAATATTGATTTATACATGGTACAAGCTCTGTATCAATACAAACAGTTAGAAGTCATGCACAAACTCAAGTATTTCATTTTACATGAACTATTAATTTAGGTTAACTATCTACTAGTTTGAGTTTTTTTAAAAGAAAAAAAAACAAAAGAAAAAGATAACATGTTTGATGCAATTTAAATCATTTTAGTGATTAATCATTGCACTTGCAGCAGGTTTATCATTATACTTTTTTTAAAACACACCTAAATCTAATCAATTTATCTTCAGGCATAAATTAAACTATGTGCAAATCATATATAAGCTTACACAAGCTCAATATTAATACTAAGTAGGAGAAAAATATTCCATGTTTTCTATTACAAAATGTTGTAAATATACTAAATAGGGCCTGGTTGTACAGCTCGAAAAACCATGATTGATTCTTGAATAAACCACCTCTCTATTCAACTTACAATTTATTTTTTTACTTATTTAGAATTTGATTTTACCATAAATAAAACTATGAATAGACTCAGAGAATCAACAATTTATACCTGTAGAATCATGGCGTTCTTCATCATATTCTTTAGTTGTGTAGACCTGAGATATGCTTCTCTTATAACTAGGTACTGGTACAATCGCTTCCTCTTCAAACTCATAATTATTATTATCCAGAAAATATGGAATACATGCCCGACTTTCTGCATTGGCTTCCTGTTGAGTATGTAATAATCTACTGTCTGCTCCCATATAATCTGATATTATGCTGGGTTTAAAACACTGGGTGGTAGGGAATGATGGATAATCTTCGCTGTCATCAGAAGTAGGATCAGGTGTAGACATATCATGGTGGCTATAATCAGGATTATTACTAATAATTGTTTTAGACTGTGCACATGGTATAATATCTGGTGATGATTTTATATCACATATATCTTCAATTAAATCAAAACTGCCATCTTTATACTTGATGCAGGTTTCAGCAAGTTCTTCCTCCCTTTCCTCATCTGATAAACTTACACCCTTGAGTGACATTTCATATGCACATGTTGGGTGCAATATAAAGTCATCTCCCAAATTGGATATGTTTTCTCTCTGAGAATATTCTTCGTCTTGGGGGAATTCTGCAAGCTTCTCTGTGCCTTCAATTTTATTGTTACTTTTAAGTTGGTTTCGGCCACTATTTTTATCTAAAGCTAAAACATCATTGATTTTCATTTTCTCATTACCAACTGTAGGCTGTATACAATGCATGATCACATTACTCTTGACTAAGATATCAGACCTTTCTCCCAATAAGTCACTGCTATCAGTGGTTTTACTTTCATCCAATTCAGGACATCTATTGATATCAATATCCAAATCATTCTGTTCAAGTACATGTAAATGAGTGGGACTATTGACTGGAACTTCATCATTAATGTTCATCTCATCTCTGTCTTCTAACATATATTTAAAATGGGAGTCTTCCAGTGGAATGGGTCTGATGTACGAGCAAATGGACCCATTGTTGATATCTATTGATTTGTTCTGAGTTGAATTATCATAATATTCATAATCATACATATCCCCTTTAAAGAATGCATGTAATCCAGTCCCATCACTCACAGCTTCAATTTCCTGCTTCTCATAAACACAAACTACCTCCCCATGTATAATCTCACCCTCAACTTCAGGTTTACTCACTTTAATATCACTCTTTAAATTATTGAGTGTTGGTGAATGGATGAATATCATCTCAGATTTATCAAATAACATATTTTCTCCATGTGTTTTTGGTTGTGTTTGACAGGTATTAGTACTGTGTGACTCCACACTAGTTATCACAGCTCCAATATCATAATGGAGATCTGTTACCATTGCAGGTGTTTCTGCTGAGTAATCACTTTTACATTGGCCCAACAGATCAATAAATTCTTCTGGTGTATTTTGCATTTTAGTTAAATCTAGGTGGCTACGCCCTGATTGCATTACATCAGAAATCACTCTAGACTCTAACGATGTAATTTCTGGAGTTAAATAATCATGACTTGAATAAGAGGTCTTCTCTTCAAGGATTTGGGAGTCTGAATCTGAGTAAGACATTGTACTGAGGGGGCTAAAAGATATTGACTTTTCACATTGTTTTCCTTCATCGAAATCTTTATTCTCTGTGAGCATTGAATTTATTATTTCAAAAGTATTGTTGGGGTTTTCAGCATTATTGTCATGAATGACAGACAAATTAGTGACATAAATACTATTTGCAACTGCTTGGTTCTCACTGTTATTATCATAATTTTCCCCTTTTAATTTTTTTTCTGGGCTAAATCTTGGCATACTGCTCAATGATCTGTCTATTGAACAATCATTGTCATCACTACTTATATGTACAAGAGACCTTAAATTTAAATTCTGTGAATCATTTTTTTCTTGACAAATGCCTTTGATGTGTGAACTAAATGAATGGATCTCCTGAGAAAGGGGAGTAATTTCAATAACTTTATCACAGCAATTTTGCACAAGTTCTTTTAAAATATTGAAGACAATATCAAACATATCATTAGGCAGGTCTAAATCTTTGTTGTTTTTGTTATCAAAACAATAATGCAACAGGTTATTATTATCTTGTAATTTTAAGTCTATTTTGGGATAGTGATGTACTGAAATACATTGAGTTGTGCTTGTTCTATTTGCCTCAACACTATCAAGTTGGGCAGCTTCTGTGATCATGGGTATTTGCGTAGATTCCATTATTATTATTAAGTACTTGCACTCTTAATCCAGTTAAGGTTTCTTTTATGAGGTACAGTTAATAGTAGCAAGCAGTAAGATCTGAAACATCTGCATTTATTCTACCATTAATTACTTTCTTTGACTTTATGACCTAAAAAAGATAAGAAACAAGTGGTTTAATTAAACCTCTATAGTCTATGCATGATGGTCATCCTTATAGGCCTATAACTTGTATAAGCCTTAAAGGAGCTAAATCGCTAATATTTGGAACCTACAAATTGACACAAATGGGTCGCAACATATATAATAATGTAATATGAATGTAAATAAGCTGATTTACATTCAATCGTTCCCGTTTTTACTCTAATTCTAAAGCAGTTATGTTCGGCGAAATACGCCAGAAGTCTCAATTCAATGGCAATATCTGGCGTCTAGTTATTCCAGTCTACACCGATAGTATTTATTGCGCATGTTCTCCAGATAAAAATATGGGGTCACCGTTTGACATGACTTGTGGAATATGTCTAACCTCGTTCTTCGAGTCACTTGTTACAAATTGCGCCGAAACGCATTATGGTACACGATTCGTGTACCAATGGTAAAATGTTTATTTTGTCTTGAATATTGGATATCAGAAGCTCATCTTTTCCCTGTAAGATCACAAGACAATTGTTGATTTGAATTGACAAATAATTTGTGTTTTCAATGTCGAAGATTTTTGATCATATTGAGTTAGAGACTTAGCTACTTTAAATTTAGTCTCTTTGTTTGTTGTAGGGCAAATAACTAACTAAGCCTAAATCATTCAGGTAAAGCCTATGCAAATTCATCATGGATTAATGGCAGGACTAGGATTTTGTTTAACAATATTGGAGATTGGATGGAGGGAAACAAATGGCAGTCTTGCCTTACCAAACAAATTTGTAAGGTGTGGATCAGTCTGTAAGTGTAATTTATAAAAGTGTAAACTTTGGCTTTTGCAGCAAGGGGGGTTGGATGGCCAAATGGTTAGCGTGTGCGTGTTGTATCATAAGGTCCGTCATTGAGTCAACTGGCGTGTTTTTGATTCCCCCGTTGTATGTGACAAGGAGTAGGGTCACCTGTCCAACCACGTGGGTTTTCTCCGGGTCCTCTGGTTTCCTCCCACTGCTAAAGACCCCTATGCCGTGCGCAAGCGAATTATTGAAATAAAATTTAACCATGTGTTAGTCCCAAAATGACCTAGTTTGTGTCGTGGACATTAAACTAACCCCATTTCTCTCTTTCTCGCAGCAATTTCTTGAAATATAATTATAAACTTCAGTTCAATCTTCTTAGATTAGAATTATTTACTACCATACCCAAAAAATTAATAAAAACGTGTCTAAAGAACTTGGTTTAATTTCTTATTTTTAATTTAAATAAGATTGTTTGAATAAAGTGGATAAAAAAAATGGATAAAAGTTGTCTATCTTATCTTAAATCTTTAACTTTCCTAGTAGGCCTACTAGCAATGATTATAATAATTATAATTGACTAGCCGGAATATGGGTCGGATTACGTTACATTGCTTTATTAGTCACATGTTCATGTTGATTAATATTGCATCCATCAGGGCATCAGATTGGCCTAAATTATTTGCAAAATAAACTGGTTATGTTGTTAATAAAAAATTTGTAAGATTTACACAACAGTTAATATTAAAACAAAACAACGGCAAATGAATTTTACTGGGCCTCTAATCCCAGCAGACGAAAGCTAATGGGTTCCTTCGTTGTCCAGGCGTAGGCCTATCTGTATTAATAAACGTTAATAAAATCTTATAACTCTATGAATGTTGACGTAATAAACGTCCCCACCAAAACATCAACAACGACCGGCAAGATTTTACCAGGCCTTGTTCTAGCGTGTCTAGCAGACGAAACCTGATTGAGTGTCTTGGTTGTCAAGGCGTATCTTGGCAGTCTAAATATAATCTGTCCTAGATCTAATCTTGATTCTTTTCCAAAAAAAAAAAAAAATAAAAAAATAAAAAAAAAAATTGCTATAGAAGGAAATGGAGCATTTTGTAATTTATTCCTACGGTCCTGATATAATTGCGTTATTATTAATATTTGACATATTTTGGCACTAGGCCTATCGCGACCACCTGACAGCTGCTCGACCAGCCGTGACATATTTTTTTTATGCCTACCACTTAATCAAGACGATTTGAACATTATTTTGTTTGTTTGTCTTGGTTTTTAAATATGTATTTATATCTTGCTGTTGTACATTCGTTGCGTAATCGGGACGTAAAGCAAAAGTTAAATGAATTATGAATGAAGGCATTAAATATCTTGCGTGTGGAGTTAAGACAGACCATATATGGAAATCGCCTAACCCGGAAGTAGATTAGTAAGGTCATTAATGGTGGTTAATCGAGCAAGGAAGTAAGGAAACATCTATTACCACAGACAACCAGGACGGATACACTTATTTATTTATACAAGGTATACAGTTTAAAAATTCCGTTACATGTGAACAATATAAGGATATCGAATTGGTAAGTGAAAAGTTTGAGACTGATCGTTAAAGTACTTGGGTTTGGTAGGATGGTCTATTTTTTTTTTAGCCATTTTAGGCTTCTTTTTTACACTCACACTGATCACTGTTCTGGACAGTAACTCTGATTTACACCCATTATCCTGTTACTGTCTGAACCATGCTATTTTATAAACGGATTTCTTCGATTATGAACAAACTATTTAACTTTGGTTATTATAAACTTACCTGTGTGTTTGAAATCAACTCCGGTTAAATAAAATCCATTGCACAATTAAATATCCCAACGAATAAAAAAAGTTCTCTCTTGAAAAATTTGACGTGTTTACTTATATTTTCTACAAAGTCGAAGACAACATGTTGGACGAAACCATTACAGTTGTTGTGGGGGCGTTTAGTTTTGACAGCGGGTTTGACAACCATGTGTTGCTATGAAAACAAACTGCGATCGTTTCGATCGTTTGAGTTTGGGCGACGAAAAATTTTAACAATTTAAAGGCAATTACATAGAAGATTTATATTGAAACCATTGATGGCCAGTCTACCAAATTTCATTCACAATGAAAATATCAATGATAGCACGGATACTCGTAAAAGATAAAGTTGTATTTAAACTAAACCTATCTTCTTTATACATGTATTATAAATAATTTAAGAAACAACATGAAGCTCACGCTGAAGTTTCCGAGTGCATCGTTAACTTAATATCATTCTTTCGAGGAAACGATAACTGTTTCAGCAACATATAAAAAAAGCGTGTTATGGCAGCCCCCAAGGTGCCAATTCTGTGGGTGTATAATGCCAAAAAACCTATAATCAAATAATTAAAATAAAATTATATTATTTCAAAAGAAAATGTATAAACTTTGCAGGGATTTTACTAGAATGTAAAAAGATGGTAATAAAATAAAGAGATATGGGCCAAACCCCCAAACTCAATACCAAGCCGAGGTTAATACCACGAATTGTTGTAAATCTACCGTAAAACGTTTCGATGTAGCGTGCTGTCACCCCTTTATACGAAATGATATCTCCCGAAGAGTGACGTAACCGGCTTCCATTTTTGTATTGCCCTATGTCAAAAGTTTGAGTTCAATTTTTCAAGAGAGAATTTATTTATTCGTTGGGATATTTAATTGTGCAATGGATTTTATTTAACCAGAGTTGATTTCAAACACACAGGTAAGTTTATAATAACCAAAGTTAAATAGTTTGTACATAATCGAAGAAATCTGTTTATAAAATAGCAAGGTTCAGACAGTAGTATATTAGCATGGTAAAATTACCATTCAGTTTACTGGTATGATTTCGAAAATGGATGCAAGTAATTTAACTGCTCAAGTTGTACCCTGTCATGTTCTCATGTAGGCACTACTGTCTGAACCATCGTAAATTTTTAACGGATTTCTTCGATTATGAACAAACTACTTGACTTTGGTTAATATAAACTTACCTGTGTGTTTGAAATTACCTCCCGTTAAATAAAATCCATTGTACAACTAAATATCCCAGCGAATAAAAAAGTTCTCTCTTGTAAAATTGAACTCCTCACAAACTTTGACATGAGAAATCAAAAATGGAAGCTAATTACGTCACTTATCGGGACAGATCATTTCGTATAAGGGGGTCTCAGCAAGGCTTGTCTATCGTAACGGTGTTTGGCTCTTTTACGACAATTCAAATTTTGTGTATGAATAAGCTATTGCTCTCGGACCAGTAATGAGTTTGGGCGTTTACATTTGCCTCGGCAAAATTAATAGCCGAGGCCATTAAATCATTGAATAGGTATATAACGTTATTATTTCTTTTTTTATATAAATACTAAAAATTATTATCAACAACAAACCATAGCGCACATCGGTTTAATTATCGGCAGATATAGTTGCATGTCTTTCTATTTCTCTTCGAATTTTATTTCTGTTGTGCAAAAACTCTTCAGAATTTTGCGTCTCCGTAACACAATTAATTTCCGAAAATCCCGGCTTCGTTTTGAAATGCACGGGGCAATGTATCCATACGATTGTTATCACAAATACAACTCCCTTTTGAAATCCACAGAGAATGGAATTTTCGGATGGCATTTTGTAGATCGTGATCATGCCTCAACCAATCAACGCTTTGAATTCTATTACCATAAACGGTACATGTACCATGCCATATGAGTTACTGTATACCACAAAGGTGCAGTGAAAATGGTTAAATTTAGCGCGAAACTTGCACAAGTTTTTCCCACGGTCTGCATAATTAACACACAAGACCAAAGAATACATGCAATCTGCGATACCTCTTTTGACAAGTGATTGTTTGGACATCCCGAATTGTTCTTATCAACAATGTTTCGATTTCAGTATCTGTCAAATAAACCGAAAAAAAAGTAATTTATTCAGAAATATTATGGACGTGAACAGTCGGAACTTGAATTAAATATGGAAATTATTGAGAAGCGGTGGCCTTTTTTTCATAGTTTTTGTGGTAATCATAAAACTTTGAAAATGGACTAATAATAACTACAGAACATTGAGATTAGATCCCGCGTTATGAAATATTATCAATTAAAATTGTAATAAAGTATGTTTATTTATAAATGTTAGCCACAGAGTTGCATATAATTGACAGGGATGTAAGGGCCCAATATAATTTATTAAAATATATATAATACACACTAACACAGGGTATTGACAATTATGAGGTGATGATGATGTGAAAAGCAATATTTATGTGTATTCGTGTAATCGGTGATATACAGTATTCATTGTGAATGAAAATTTAGTAGACTGACAATCAATTCTATCCAAATTGATTTTATTGTCTTCAGTTGCCATTTTTTTGCCCAAACTCAAACGATCGGAAAGGTCGCGTGTTGTTGTGATTGCAGCACACGTGATTGTCAAAATTTGCAAACCATTTACCCCTTCAACATATTAAGATGGTTTAGCTCATCATGTCACATGTACAATGTTATCATGAACATAGTCGAAAAACACAAGAAAAAACATTGACTTTTCAAGAGAGAACTTTTTTTTTTGTTGGGATATTCAATTGTGCAATGGATTTTATTCAACCGGAGGTGATTTCAAACACATAGGCAAGTTTTTAGTAACAATTATTCAGTAGTTTGTTCACCATCGACGAAATCCGTTTATAATTTACCACGGTTCAGACAGTAGTATTAGTAGTAATACCGCAGCTGCAATGTTTGTAGCCGTTTTAACACTACAAGCCTTTGCACAAGTAAATATTGCTTAAATTGCAAAATTTTCAACACATATCATAACAGTTTGCATGGAAATAAGTAATTACGTTACAAATAGTGAAGAGTACGTGGGACACTGAAATCTTAATTTTATCTTACCGAACAGTTTTTGTATATTTTTGAGGTGACGTGAAATCCCTTGCAGGTTCTAATTCTGGTCCTGCAGACCTTTTAAAAGTGAAAGAAATATCATGTAGCCGCTGGATTTTATTAAATTTATGTGTAAGTTTTGGCTTTAATTCGATGGGAATTGGTTAATTATATGTTAAGATATCTGTAGTACCATTTGAGCAGGTTTTATGTGAAAAAGGTCATGACTACTAGTTACATAAAAAATGTTGCTTCAAAAATGTAATACGCATTACCACAAAGGGAAACTGTTTGGTGACTATTTTAATGGTTCATTATTTCATTTGCGATAACAGAATTTATTTCAATACAAAATATGATGATATGTGATGAAAATTATTTATTTAATAGATGTCACAATATTTAAGTAAAAGTATTTTCTTTAGCTTTACATTTATTTTTAATAACAAACAACTGTAATGTATGAAATAATATTTTAAGGCTACTTTTTGGAATATGTCGCCGTATACATGTATGTTGAGGGTAAGCTGACCGTGTCAAGACATAGTTTTTATAATAGTTTATGATGCTTGTCTGTCATTTTGCAGAATTTGGTTGATGATAAGATTAATATTCAACAGTTTAGCTTATGGTACCAGATTGTCCTACACATGATATTTAAAATAACATTACAACATTTATAGATTCACAATAAGTTCATTTTGTACTGACATGACCTACTTACTTCATGTCGTTGGCCTACTTTCTCATGTTTTTGTTTTTATATTTATTTCATATTCACCTGCATTCTATATGTTTCCATTTTCTGCTCATTGGCTAAAGAATTCTATCCCTAAAAAGCTTTTAACATGAAACTAGGGCAGAAAACAAAATCTCAAAGAAATCCATTGGTCTGTACAGTTATGTTTTAAGATTCTTTTAAGTTATCTTTCAAAGTTTTGATTATCGACTGAAGAATATTTTTATTCTCGACTGATCTCTATATTCTATGTTCTACACTTGTCGCTGATCATTCATGGTCCCTGAATCATTGACCAAACAATTTTGAATGATAATTACATCTAATTTACATAATTGAAGTATAAAAAGAAGACTTAACCCATTAGGTTAACTAGTAAACTGAAGTAGAGATGTGTTAATATTTTTGTTATGGTGCTAACAGCATGTAGAAAGACACTCTTTAATAGATCCATTTCTACATATTTGTTAAAATGGCCTCCCTAGTATCCTTTCTTTAACTCATTAACTGTGAATTATTATAGCCAAACTCAGTAAATATAAACAGTTACTCAATATTTATCTCCTGATAGCATGTTGTTAATAGAAGTAGCAATACAAGCAAACACAACCCATGAGACAAGGTCAGTTGCCTTTTATGACACAAAAATATCTTTATCAAATTTCCATGGAGATGGAATATTCAACATGTTTGCAGAAACTGATGCAAAAGGCTTTTGTTATGTACCAGTACTCAAACATGTAGCAAAAATTTTGAATCACATTCCATACAAATAATCAATCCTATTAGATGAAATAGTTATTTACAGAGTGTTAATTTATTGTCCCCCCGCCTTTCGAAGAACAATAACTCTCTTTCTAATTAAGCTAGAATGTTCAAACTTGGTGTAAGTGTTCATTAGGTCAATTCCTTGATGGAGTTCGAGCATTTTCTGCTTAGGGTAAGCAGAGATGAGAAATTTGATTGGTTGAGGCTTTGGGACACAATAACTTTAGTTCTAATTAATTAAGAATGATGAAACTTGGGGTATAGTTTCATTACATCAATACCTTGACTAAGTTTGATAATGAGCATTTTCTGCTCAAGGTAAGCAGAGCGATAAGCAATTTGATTGGCCGAGACTTTGGAACACAATAACTCTTCCTCTAATTGAGCTAGAATGTTCAGACTTGGTGTAGGTTTTTATTAGGTCAATGCCTTGATGGAGTTCTAAGATGAACATTTTCTGCTTAGATAAGCAATTTGATTGGTTGATGCTTTGGGACACGATAACTTAAGTTCTAATTAAGTGAGAGTGATGAAACTTGGTGTATAGTTTCATTACACCAATACCTTGACTAAGTTTGATAATGAGCATTTTCTGCTCAGGGTAAGCAGAGCGATAAGCAATTTGATTGGTCGAGACATTGGAACACAATAACTCTCATTCTAATTGAGCTAGAATGTTCACACTTGGCGTAGGTGTTTAATAGGTCAATGCTTTGATGGAGTTCGAAGATGAGAATTTTCTGCTGAGGGTAAGCAGAGATAAGCAATTTGATTGGTTGATGCTTTGGGGCACGATGACTTTAGTTATAATGAAGTGAGAGCGATTAAACTCTGTAGATTCATTATATCATTACCTTGACTAAGTTCGATGGTGAGAATTTTCTGCTTAGGCTAAGGAGCGATAAGCAATTTGATTGGTCAAGACTTTGGAACATAACAACTCTGCTTTTAATTGAGGTAGAATGTTTAAACTTGATGTAGATGTTCATTAGGTGAATGTCTTGACTGGGTTCAATGATTAACATTTCGAGCTAAAGCAATTTCATTGGTCGGTGCTTTGGGACAAGATAACTTTGATTCTATCTGATAGAGAGTATTGAAACTTAGTGTATAGTTGATAATCATGATCAGTTGATAAAGTTTTGAAAAAAATAAATGTACAATTAATTAATATGTGTCATCTATTTTTTTTTTGGGGGGGGGGGGGGCGGGGAACATCAGTCTCACTGTTGGCTTGTTTTATAATGATAATATCAAATTATAGAAAGCTTTTTAATATATTGGGTCTTTTCATCCTTCTGTCACACTCTTAGAACTTAAATTTATTTTTTTCATTGTGCATGGACTTTGATAGAACTTCAAATATAACTGATTGGTAAATGTGTATGTATGCACATTCAATGTCTATTCTTCCTGAGACAATTGTATTCATTAATAAAATGTTTGACTCAGGACCACAGTCCACAGCACTCAGATTATTTATTTTCATTCAGAATTGTTATACAAGAACTCAATCTGATTAAAATACAGATCTATATTTTGTTTCTTTTTTTATACTTTGATGGTCTACACTACATGAAGATCTGACCAGTTGTTTTGGGAGGTCGCGTCAGATGTCATACGAGCGACTTTTGACCCTATGACGTCAGACATTTTATTAACCAATCAGCATTGATGTTTCTGGTGGATTACCCACAGTTCTGTGTCACCTCAGTCTAAAAGCTTGCTGTAACTGACTGTTTTATTGGCTAATTTCTTACATCATCCAGAACACGTCAATGATAACAACTATTCCAGATCCTAGTGTAGTAATGACAAGTAAAACAAAATTTTGAGCTATAAAAAACAAAACGAAATAGGATCTCTGTTTTAATCAGATTGACAAGGACTTTTTGATTTGGGCTAATAATTGGGCTGCCCACCCCCTTTCACCAACACTTTCTTTATTAACAGGTACGACCGCACATGAAAAAGGAATCTCCGACTCGTGGTTTGGTTAACAACTTCTTGCAATTGTGACATATCACAAGTCCATCAATGGATGCTCAATTGTCCAAAGAACAAGCATGCAAAGTTTCAAGTTGATAGTACTTAAATCAGTACTTTTAAAGAGTGTCACCTGAAGAAGATTACTAAGTGTATGGAACCTGGTCTTTTGTTAAAAAAAAATGTAGCAAGTATCCAACAGAGACAGTGCAAGTGGTCCCACAAAAAATGATGTAAAAATTCAGACATCTTTAAATTGTACTTCACTGATTATATTTAAAAGTTATGGATAAGCATTTTTCTTAATTCTATTTATAGGTATTACATTGAAGAAGGAATTAAATGGTGACAATCACTCAAGTCAGACATGGGAAAGCTTTTAAGTGTATTAAAGAATGACCCACCATCCAAGAATACAGACATTTTTGTAGACTTTGAAAGTGAGAATTAGTTTCTCTTTATAGTGATTATTCTTGAAGTGAAGAAGTCCACATTTAATGTTGACATTTATTATTTTTTTCACTTACGTTGACTGTTCTTCAACAATGGGTCCATCTTGAGTAACATATCATAGCATATATCCAGAGGCTAAAGCAGCAGATATTGTTGGGAGGTATATGTACCGTGTCTTTGACACTGCTTTGCACACTACATAGCAATACTAATGTTTAACTAGAACTGCAATGCAGTAATGACAGGTTTCACTGATGCCACTTTATCCTTAAACTGACGTCACTTCGTCTTCTTGTACCAATGTAAATGTTAAGCACTGGACATGTGTTATAAAATGTACACAGAATTAGCCAATAAATCCAGCAATATCAGTTCCACTCGACACATTGACACCACTTCCAGTATCAACAAAATATTTGAATTGAATTACAGAAATAACCACTTCAATTGTGCTTTGATGACAGAAAATTGATTAAAATTTGAACAGAATTAACACTTTATAAAGCCTTATTAAAATGCGAAAAATCTTATAAAAATTATACTGACATAATTGGTTATTTCTTGTCACAAGAAGACATTAGAAACACTTTTTTTGATATCTATATGATCTTATTGATTCATACTATTTGTCCCTTGAAATCAAATATTATTATTTTATACGAATAATGAATATCACTTACTTAAAAAAAATATTTGTTTTGGAGGATAAAAATGCAGTTTTTGCCAAAAGACATTACAAATCAGTTTTAGCAAATCGGAAATGGCATTAGACATCACATGTTGAAAATTTAATGAAAATCGAATAATAATTGACACTTTTATAAACCAAATCAATTTTATTGATATGTTGATTTAAACCAAAAGTTAAAATTTTTAATACATATGAAATAATTCTTAGTTGAAAAAAATATCGATTTAAAGGTTTAAAATACAGTTTTTGACAAAATAGCGTCACTTCCGGTGTCAATTTTAAATTGAATCAATTTGATATAACACACTTTTCCTTTATGCAACAAATGGTGTCATTTTTATGAAAATCCAATAATAATTAAATCGGTTACTGGCAAAATAATATGAAAAATGACTCCTGCAAAATTGCTTATTTCTCGGCAACTGCTAATATTGCAAACTAAATTTGACATACATTTTCCTCATATGGATTAATTCTACAAGATTATGAAAGTTACAAAGGAATATTTCAAAATATTAAAAGCCTGAATGGGTTGTAAATAGCTCATTTTTACACCTTTTTTTCACTTTTATATCGAAATTGTGCAAATACAAAACAGAAACTAAACAAACTGAGTCTGACTTTTTTTGCATCTGTAGTATGGGGCCAGTATGGGCACTCATCCTGATCTATCAGATTCGTAATAATTAATATTTGCTTGCGAAAAGACGTTCGTTCCTAACTGCCAAAATTGTAGTTTTTGTCAAATTTACGTCATTTACGGAGCCGACAGAAAACTTTATCGGTAATAAAAAATTTGATACTTTGCACCATTCAGCATATGAACTTTGTTTTATACAAATCGAGTAATAAATAATTAACCTAGAACCCATAAACTGAATTAGCCAATAGCGGGCAAGGAAAATTATTGAGACAGAAATTGTTTATATTTTTGCTCAAGTCACATGACCCTTTAATTCTGGGTAAAATGCCCTAAAAAAATATTCATAAATAAAAAAGTTTTTTGTCAAAATTTAAATGTTCAAAATTTGGCACCTAATATCTGCGAAGATTCATCAAAAATCTAAAGAACCTTAGCTATTGGCCTTGTCTCAGGTTATGTCAATATTACAGCAATATTTAAAAAAAATGACAACTTGGTGATTTCACATTGTCGCAGTGAGTTCAAACGAAAACATCGAATCGATCCGACAAGCATTTTCTGAGATATGCTCAAGTGGGGAAAAAAATAAGAAGAACTAGAACTGTGATGTAGTAATGATGGGTTTCACTGGTGCCACATTACCCTTGAACTGACATCACTTCCCGTACCAATGGAAACGTTAAAATGATTTCCATGTGAGCATTGCACATGTTTTAAAATGGACACAGAATTAGTCAATAAATCCAGCAATATCAGTTCCATACATGTATATACATGTACAATGAAAATTTGACACGATGAGTCAATGACATCATTTCCGTTACTAACAAAATATATATACAACGAAGACTTGACACGATGACATCATTTCCGTTGCCAACAAAATATTTATATTGGATTACAGGCATTATCCCTTCAATTGTCTTGTGCATGACAGAAAATTGATTAAAATTTGAACAGAATAAACCATTTATAAAGCCTTATTAAAATGCGAAAAATCGTAAAAAGTGATCCTGACAAAATTGGTTATTTCTCAGCAAGGGAAGAGGCTAGAAACACTTTTTTGATACCTATATGATGGCACTGATTCATACTATTTGTCCATTGAAATCAAATATCATAATTTTATACGAATAATGAATATCACTTACTTCAAACAAATATTTGTTTTGGGGGCCAAAAATACATCTTTTGCCAAAATGACATTACTTCCGGTGATAAAGTCAATGGTAAACCAGTTTTATGAAATAGTAAATGGCATTTGGCATCACATGGTGAAAATTTTATGAAAATCGAATTACAATTGACACTTTTATAGACCAAAAACCTTGAAAAAGGACTTGTAGAAAATCATCTATTTCTCTGCAATCGTACATGTCAGAAACCATTTTGTGGTATCTGTATGATCGTATGGGTTCATTCTATATCTTGATTGGAATCAAATATCATGATTTTAAACACATTACATGTACATATCATTTTGAATGCTAAAAATACAGTTTTTGCCTAAATGACATCATTTCCAGTGACAGTGAAAATGATAAATTGGTTTGTTCTAGTCCAAATTGGCATTAGGCATCAAATGGTAAAAACAAATTGAGAAGCGAATAATAACTGACTCGTGATGCATGCAAAATTGCCTATTTCTCGGGAACTGCTCATATTACAAACTAGTTAATTTTCGCATACATTCTCTTCGTATGGATTTTTGCTACAAATTTATGAAAGCTACGAATAAACATTTTGAAAAAATGAATACGCTGAATGGGTTGTAAATAGCTTAATTTTACACCTTTTTTCACCTTTTAATCGAAATAGAACGAAATCAAAATTAAAAAAACTGATCTTGATGTTTTGTGCGCCTTTAAAGTTGCAATTTCATATTTTTAAGTTATATTTTTAAAATTTATTAAAATAAAGCCTTAAAATAGATGGTATCTATAAACAGTCCTACCTTGTTAAAGAATAATCCTATTAATCCTATAATTCACTATTGCCAGTTGAGAAATTGGCAAAAATATCATTTTCATCTTCAAATTCAAACCTTTGAAGTTAACTACTCCATGGTGGAGAATAGAAAACAAGGGAGGTAATTGTGTTATTATTTCCGATGTAAATGAGTTTTAAGTGTGAGAATGACACCTATCATCGTATAATAGTATGTTGACAACCTATTGAGCAAAAGACATAGAAATAATTATGTTTTGACTTTCTGAGAAAATATGAAATTGTAACTTTAAAGGGCACACCCGTTCAGTTATACCAGATATGAAAAAAATAGTATTTGCTTTCAAACAGGGGTACCGAACTGTCAAAATGTAGTTTTTGGTAAAGTTATGTCACTTGCAGTACCGACAGGAAACTTTATCGGTAACAACAAAATAACATTTTGGAAAACGGAGCAAAAAAATTTTGTTTTATACAAATCAAACCATAAATAATTAATCTAGGATCGAAAAACTGAATTAGCCAATGGCGGCTAATGCAAATTACTGAGACAAAATTTTTATAAGCCCACATTTTCATGTGGACGTATATTGCCGTTGCCCCTGTCCGTCCGGATGTCCACAATTGTTTGTGGACACTCTACAGGTCCAAACTTGAAATATAGGTTTATCTCCAAAAGATCTCGGTTGCTTTCGATACTGGCATGTATCAGACCGAAACATCATGGATTATTGCCCCTGATTGTATGAAAAATCACGTTTTTATCTTGTGGACCCTATAGAGGTCACAATTTTTATCCGATTTTGTTGAAACTTGAAATGTAAGTTTATAACCCAAAGATCTCAGTTCCTTTCGCGCATATCGAATCGTAACTTCCTGAATTATGGCCCCTGATTGTACGAAAAATCACATTTTTAGCTTGTGGACCCTATAGAGGTCATAATTTTTATCCGATTTAAAAAAACGTTTTAGTATATCACTGTTACACCCTAAGGAGGATTGGGTTCGAATTTCGTGAAAATGGCGTAAAAATATGGTACATCAAAGTTGTGGACCCTCTAGAGGTCACAATTTTCTTCTGATTTTAATGAAACTTGAAATGTAAGTTTATAACCCAAAGATCTCGGTTCCTTTCTATATTCGCGCATATCGGACTGTAACTTCCTGAATTATGGCCCCTGATTGTACGAAAAATCACGTTTTTAGCTTGTGGACCCTATAGCGGTCCCAATTTTGATGGGATTTCAGAACCCGTTTGAATATATCACAATTACACCCTAAGGATGGTTGAATTCGAATTTCGAAAAAATCAGACCAAAACTGACAGACAAAATGGCCGCCCCTCGTACTCAAATAGCGTAAAAATAAGGTAAAGAATGTTGTGAACCCTCTAGAGGTCACAATTTTCTTCTGATTTTGTTAAAACTTGAAATATAAGTTTATAACCCAAAGATCTTGGTTCCTTTCGATATTCGCGCATATCGGATTGTAACTTCCTGAATTATGGCCCCTGATTGTACGAAAAATCTTGTTTTTAGCTTGAGGTCCCTCTAGAGGTCACAATTATTATCCGATTTAAAAAAACGTTTGAATATATCACCCTAAGGATGGTTGAGTTCGAATTTCATGAAAATCGGACCAAAACTGACAGACAAAATGGTCGCCCCACGTACTTAAATAGCGTAAAAATATGGTATATCAAGGTTGTGGACCCTATATAGAGGTGACAATTTTCTTCTGATTTTGATGAAACTTGAAATGTAAATAACTCCCTGATTGTACGAAAAATCGCTTTTTGTTTAGCCAGTTCTCTATCCATCTCTTGCAAAATATGGGCGTATCCTGCCTGGCAGACGCTGGTTGCACATTTTTGCTTCATTCAGGTGACACTTTAATCCTGTGTATAATGCTATAAGAAAATATTCATAAACATCAAAGTTTTTTTTAAAAATTTAAATTTTCTAAATTTGGCGCCTAATGTCTATAAAGATTTGCTGACCGTTTAAAATATTTTTATCCTCTAAGTCAAACCCACTTTCCCAGTAAAATCGAAGACATGTTAACGATGCGACAAGCAGTTGCTTAGATTTAATCAAAACAGAAAAAGAAAAAAAAGAATAAGAATAATAATCCGAACAAGAACAATAGTGTTTCATACAAACTACGCAGTGTGAAACCCTAATAATCCGAACAAAAACAATAGTGTTTCACACAAGCTGCGCTGTGTGAATCCCTAATAATAATCTTGTTTCACATAAGCTACGCAGTGTGAAACCCTGATAACAATTTTGCTGACCTGGAGCATAGAGCATTTATGTAAAAGATTAACTTTAAATATCATTTTGTTACTAAATATAGATGCTCAGCCAACAGAAGAAGAGCGTGAAGTTTGGACAATGGTGGATATTGTTGAACAAAATGCAGTCCATATTTTAGATCTATTAAAGGACTACCAGGGAGCATCTGAAAGTATACGAATGGCAAGTGTAAATTTATAGATTTCCTCATAACTATGTTTAATACAACCAGATTTCAATATCGTCATAACTATGTTTAATACAACCACATTTCAATATCATCACCCCCATCTGTTGTCATGTCTGACCATATCTGTCATCTACAATTACTTGTGGACACTCAAGCTAAATGTATCATTTCACTGCCAGAAAGTTGCTTCTATGTAAATGATGAAAACTGACCAACCAAGCAGGTTTCTATTATCATACACAACATTTGTTGATAGCATAATGAAGGGATTTCCCAAATTAGATATTTTACAAGTGTTCCCCTGAACTTAACATTGTTTACTAATCTGCTTTAGTTATGAAATGACAGAGCCAACCAGTACTTCAAGAGTCCAGGGTATAGTGTCTGTTCACAGTGTTCTGCAGGCACTTTAGGCAGTAATTCTTAATCACAATATTTTATTACATGTATCTACTTCAGATTTCTTTTAGAATTGCCTGTTTTATAATTTCAGGCAATATCAAATCCAAAGGTTGAAGAATACCAGGAAAAAGCATGGCATGATGTCATTCCCCTGATTTCAAAACTCAAATTATTTTATGAATTTTCCTTAAAACTTGGTATGTGGCTTTTATGCAAACTTTCAGAATGAACACTGTTGCTGTCTCCAACAATATTTAAAATATGAAGTGATTTAGTGGTTAAATTAATATATGCAACACTCTATATGACATTCATCAGGATCATATCATCAGGATCATATCATCAGGATTATAGCACAGACATTTTAAAAATGAATAAAATAATTATATTATCTTGTCTTAAAGAAGATTTAAAAAAGTTCCATGTAAGATAATTTTAAAAATGAATTAAATAATATTTTAAATTTAAAGAATTTTTATGTTAGATAATGTTTTAAATGAACCATTACCAACTACCATTAAAATTTATTAATGTTTTCAGAAACTGTAGTAATGGGTTTATTGAGAGAACTTTGTTCTCGGGATTTAACTCCCAGACAGCATCTTGAAACTCAACAAGCTTTCTTCAAACAGTTTGCGGAAATATTAGATTTTGTTCTTAAGTTTGATGACTTAAAGGTAAAAATAAATGATGTTACGTAGAGATATGATCGCCTTCTCTTGAAAGATATCAAGACAGTTTGTGTACTTACACTGTTAAATACTCCATGTGTCTATGTTCAATGTCCAATGTGTCTAGCAAAAAAAGTACAATAGTACTATATGGACCAAATCTGATTAAAACAGAGATGATATTTCATTTCGTTTTTAAAGTTCAAAGGTTTTTTTAATTGTCCGCTTGATATGAGGGATTAGCCAATCAAATGGTCTGTTGGGTACTGCTCTTAGCGTGTGGTGCGCAGGAGTGCAGGTAGATATTCGTAGCGATAGTAGCAAATCAAAGCAAAAGTTATGTTTCCAATTACCCACTCAAATCACCGAAACTGATTGGTTAATCAAATGACTTGCATTGTGGGGTGAAAAGCCGCTGGTGTGGCCCCCTGACGCGACCTCCCACTACAACTTGTTTGTTCTTCATGTAGTGGAGGCCATTGCAGAAAGTATAAAAACGAAATATAGATCTGTATTTTAATCAGAATGATATGGATCAGGAAATAATTATGACATCGTTTTCACCTTCTTGGGAAACTAAGTCCTTCAATCGATATGCAGTTGTGAATGGAACAAGCATTCCAAGTTTCATGTCAATTGTACTTGGAATTGGCAGTTTTGGGGGGCATTTTGGAAAAATGTTTCCCTCAAGAATCACAAATGAGCAGCACTTGGGGTCCAGTTCCTGGTCCAAAAATAGTCACTGTATTAAAGGAAAATCTGTAACTCAGTATTACTGGTCAATTTAAATCAACATTGATGTTGTTATCTTACCATGAAAAGATGGCTTCTGATATTCAGTATTTAAGACAAAATGAAAGTTTACAAAATTGCACACAAAATGTGAGCCAGAATGCTTTCGAGCGCCATTTGTTATGAAGTGATTCGATAAATGAGGCTAAACATATACCACAGGAGAATACTACCGGTGTAGACTGGAATAACCAGATACCAAAGACTGCCATTCAATTTGGACTCTTCCTGTATTTCGACGAACATAACTGATTATAAATTACAGTAAAAACATAAACGATTGAATGTAAATCAGTTTCTTTACATTCATATTACATTATCATATGCATTGCGACCCATTTTCGTCCCATTTCTAGGTATCAAAGAAAAGAGATATAGCTTGTTTAATGTATCGATTTGTTTTTATATGAACATATTATTTATTTTATGATTAAGACATGTTTGACTTGCATGTAAAGATATTGATAAATTTATATCACATTTCTTTTTCAATCTAGATGACTAATCCTGCTATTCAAAATGACTTCAGTTATTATAGAAGAACACTCAGTAGAAGGAAAATGGCTAATGAGGTAATTTTTTTAATCTTAAAGATAAATATTTAAATTATTGCTTAGTAGTTAAGCTTAAGGAAATGTCTGATCATTTATTTTCATACAAATATAAATACTGCTTAGATTAGAATAATTAGAAATTATTTCTGAATTATTTGTCAAGGCGTTATTCTTTCGAACTTCAACTTTTGGAGGATGAAGAGTAATAAAGACATGTTTTGATATTTCGTGCCTGTAAGATGTTATAGAGCTTCTTACAGTTGTAAAGTATTATTTGTTTAAATTGCTCACTGCTGCTTTCCACTTAGTAAATATGCTTCTTCACTCAGTCATCTCGATTAGGTTATGTGATTTGGCTGTCAGTCATTATGGATATTAATGGCCATAGAATATATTAAAATTTGAAAACTGGACCAAGTGATAAGATATAGTTCATTTTCAGGGAATAGATTGTACTACCTTGGGGCCATTATAAGGATATTATTAACAACTGGTTATTTCTTGCCTTTAAAGTATTGCCATTAGTCTGTTGGAACAAAGTATTTCATAATAATGAAATTAAGTATGGTTAAAATGGTCGAGAGCGAGACATTAAAGATACATTATGTAAGATTTAGATAAAGAACTAGCCATTCTTGCTATAATAGTTCGAAAATAGATGATATAAAATGAATAATTTGAAAATTTCATTCAAATTACTCTATTGCAAGCGGAGATATTAGCCTTTGAAGGTTTGACAGACGTGTGCAATAATTTCAACCACCGTACTGGTTGATCGAAGCTACGTCTCGGTCCTCCATATTTGATTAAATCAAAGTATCGCTGAACCATTCTAATCTATTTAATGTCGGAGAAAACTGATGCCATCTAGAGTTGATTAAGGCCTGGGTCAGTTAATTAATGTCTAATTAATACTTTAGAAAACATTTCAGACCTAAAGAAAGACCTGCAATAGGCAGATTTAGCTCTTGCATAATGCATGTTTAAGTAATATATTGATACTGCAATATTTCATCTAACAGGGATCTTAATCGTCCGTTTTCTGTCGGCTTTAGCCACTTGAAGTTCAATCAAGTCGATTGGTAAAACAATGAACCGGCTACTATGGTATCATAAATCAATCTACTTTTGGCTAAATTACAACAGGTTAATTATTACTTGTTAATTAAGAAGTCAATCAACTTGCTTGTTGGCTACAATATTTCATCTACTATCTAGTATAAATAATTTATGATTGGCGTGTTGCCCATACCACTGTTTGAAATTATGGTATGCCAACATCAAAGGATGATGTCACATCTGTATTTTATTTATTCCTAACATAACAAAATTCTATTTCAAGGATGATATTGAAGATGATTTAGAAGTATCTAATGAGATGGCTAATAGAATGTCATTATTCTATGCCCATGCTACACCCATGTTAAAAACATTAAGTGATACCACAGCAAAGTTTGTAGCACAGGTAAAATTGAATTATGATATTGTATAGTATCTAAGCTGCAGGGCCCGCATAACGAATTTGAAAAGTTAGCTTGCACACTATCAAACCGTTGATACATTCTCTAATGGTTAAAGTTTGTACATATACTCTGTTATACATCTTTTGAATGAGCATCTATTAAACAGCTGAAATCTTAAGATATATTCAGGGGACATGGAACTGGTTCCAAGAGAAAAAATTTTGTGTTGAATCAACTTCAGTTGTATCCAGGAGAAAAACACCACTTCTGTAGGAAGTGTAGCAGTGCTTAATGAGCTGAAAATGTCTGTATGTTGTAAACATTGCTTCAGGAATAGAATCAAAGATGGTGTCTGACATTGTCTGTGACAGTTACCTTGTTACTGGGCTCAAAATTTTATATATTTTATCTTTTGCTAAATTCTTTTCCTTTAGAAATTAAATCACTCACAAATAGGATTACTTGGGTTTAATTCCTATGAAATATAAATTATTAAGTCATCATAAAGAAATGTAATTAAGAATTGTTATTACATTGTAGAATAAAGATCTGCCTGTAGAACAAACCACAGATTGTCTCAGTGCCATGGCTAACATATGTCGTGTTATGATAGAAAATCAGTAAGTTTTACTCTGCATCCAGTCAGTGCTCTATGTAGCGTCATCCCATAGGTTAATATGAGACTGTAAGCTTGTCAGGTTTATGATCAGTCCTAAGTACAGATTCTTCCAACCAACTGAAAAATACAACTGTGTAGTTATATTTTATATTCAAATTGGTTGTATGTCTGTGAATGACTACTCTGTGTATGTGCAAAATTTCAGATATAACAAGTCAATTTCAGTTATATCAAGAATATTGATATTACCTAATGTCCTCAGTCGTGTCAAATATCTCAGAAAATAGCAAAATATATATTTTTAGCCAGCAGTCTTTATTTCACTTGATCAATCACTGGTTTTATTCTGAAAGTACAATGTTTTGACAAGTATCAAGCACAATGACATTTAGTAATTGTGTATGAAATAGCTTTATTTCCACTTCCACCGAAGTAATATCGGTGACAGTAAATTTATATAATATTCATAGTGAAGCTATTTTCAGAGGTTAAATAACAGTAACAATAAAAGTTAATAAAGGTAAAGGGTTCCACAAAAACAAGATAATTGGATTACTAAATAAACAATAGTTAACTGGAGTAATGATTATAACAAACTAGTTGAGAGGACCTTTAAAGGATACCATAAGTTGATAAGGTGGTGATGATGAGGCCATTTACAAAGATTAAACAACAATAAAAATAAGAAATAAAAATCTTACAGAACAAAGAATATCAGCTGACTAAATAAATGATGGGCTAAATGTAAGAATTCATTTAGTAAACAATAGTAAAGTTAAAGTAATAATGAATGACTGCTTATATTCTTTATTTCCTGTATGAGCTGAAATATTCTCTTGTAAAATTTGCTTCATTGTAAAAACAAAAAACTAAGGTGAGATTTGCACAAGTATCAAGTTTTTTAAATTTATTTTACAGAGAACATTATTCAAGATTTAAAAATGTTGAGACAAAATTATTTTGTTTACGAGTTATGGTTGGTGTTATTATTTTATATGATCATGTTCATCCAATCGGAGCCTTCGCCAAATCATGTGGAATAGAAGTAAGTTTGAATTGTCTTATTTAAATATACATGTACTAAGTTACAACATAAATTATTAACTACCTGGTATGTGAAATCCTTGCCAAAATTAGAAGTGATGTTTGGTGTTAATAAAATGCAGGTGAGGTGAAAAAAGCATGGCTACATGTAAATAAAATGTCTTTTAGTGAAGCCTGTATTATTACAGGCCCAGGAAGCCAGTTATATTACAGGCCTCAGACTGTACAGTGCAATGGACGCTTATGCCTGACCCAGGATCCATTCACTGGAATTGATATTTGTTGTTTAGTATGAGTTAATCCACGCTAAACTGTACTAAAATTGATTATTCACACAACATTGATTCAGTCGGATGAAAAGGCGACCCATCAAAAGATTTTTGCTAAGATTGTAGGTGGACCTGGCTTGTTTTGACAACTTCCTGATTATATTGTCTGCAGAGGATTCTGAATGTTGACTAATTTTCATTGCATCATATTTTTTTAAATACTGAATGGAATTTAACCTGTTTTAGATTGATATCCCTTTTAGAGATTCAATTTCCACAATATTATAGTTATAATTAAATCTACTATTTATAAATTCTTATATTTTTTCAGATGAAAAGTACCATCAAAGTCATAAAAGAACAACAACCACGAAGTAGTGTGGATGGCTTATTGAATGCCCTCAGGTATATTGACATCTCTATATTATATTTTTTCAGTACAACTGCTTCTGCTAGCAAGTCCCTTATTCTTGATCTGCCTTCTGTTCGTTGCATTGTCTTTAATTAATACATACATATACCTGCATTTTCAGGAATCTGATATCAATCAAACATATATAAAGAAACAAGAATATTTATATACAGATAATTAGATTTGAAATAGAATAGGATTCAGTAATCATATCTTTATAGTTCTCTAATTAGTTGTAATGATGAGAGTGTTCAATTTGAGAACCGTGGTCTAAGGGGAGATAACTCATTAACAATTTTTTAATAATTGACTTTAAATTTGGGAACCGTGGTCTAAGGGGAGATAACTCATTCACAATTTTTTAATAATTGACTTTAAATTTATGATACATTTTACATTTTGAAATGTTAAATGTTTTATTTCTCTAATATGGAAAGGAACAACCATGTTTAAATCGTATTCAAAACTTTTCAAAGAGTTATAATTTTATGATTTCAGGTACACAACAAAACATCTCCAAGACGAAACAACTTCCAAAGCAATAAAATCCATGTTATCTTAAAACAGATCATCAATCGAATTGTTTGGAGAAATGTTTCCAAGTTTTTATATTTTGAACTCAAGTAATAGCCTGACAAAGTGGACCAAAATAGCTACCATATTTTAATCTTAATTTACTGAAGGGCAGCAGGAAATATTACTATATCTATTTACTCACTGGTTTTCTGCCAACATCCATGAATTTAAATATTTCTTGATGTAATTCATCACAGCTTAATTTGGTTGCCTTGCACAGATTTATTTATGTAATTTTCCACCTTTGAGTGCCATAATTTTAGTATTTTGATCTTCCCCAGCGGTATGCAAAAAAGAGTAGTAGATGTTTTTTTGGTGTTAATGTTTTGTTAAGAACTTGTTATTTAATATTCTTGTAAATTTGCTATTATAAAATGATGCAATTTCAAATGTAAATTTGTAATTTAAGTCGTTAATTTTGTGAAATTGTTATTTAATATTAGGGGTAGAATAGTCGCTTTCAAAAAGTTGTTGCTAGATCTTAAATCCAGTTGTCCACATAGGTCATGGCCTTGGCTGGATGTAGTTTTGCGTGAATAAATTCACCAGAGACAGAAGTTGTAACATGTTGAACAATTAATTTCTTGGTTGACCAAATTCATTTATTAGAGTTTAAACAGAGTTGAATTGATCCAGTATTTTATCAATGAAAATTAAAGTAAATTTGGGATTGTCCCATTTTGAGTGTAAATTCCTTTTTGAATAGATCAATTTTTAAACTTTTTTTTTGATTTCTACAAATTTGCTGTAGGGGTCGCATGAGAACATTATATTCAAGAAAAGTGTTTGACATGTTATTAAAATATTATACTTATGTGTTCATCCAAAATTGTGGGAAAAATTGGTCTAGTAGTTGAAATCAGTATCTGCAAGTTTGGGATTGATTTTTTTTCTTCTAAAATACATGTACATGTATACTTAAACTGTCGTTTCACTCCTGGTTATATGGATGGTATGGCTTGAAGAAGATTGTCACTCAATTAATGTCTTCCCTGAACAAGTCAACAATGTGAGGGTGAGATAATTATTTTTAATAAAAGGGTCTGTAGTTTAAAGGATAGTTAAGAAATAAAACTTACAAGATTAACATTAAGCACACTCTGAATTTTAGTTTTATTTATTATTATATGGAGTAAAACAGTCTTGTGGGGAGGATGGTGATTTAAAGAGAAAACTTAACTCATTCCCGTAGATAAGATAAAAAATTTTACCATAAAATTATTTTTTGTTCCATTTGTTATTTATTATATTATAGTCTTATGAAGACATGTTTAGATAATGTACATGTATGTAAATCTATGTTAAGCCTTCATTTTGATAGCTTTTGCTTCCTTTTTTAAGAAACGTATTTATTTGTGTATATAATTATATTTAAAATATACATAGAAATGGTTGAGGGTATACACTTTGTATCATGTTATATATTTGTGGAATAATTCATCGAAATCTAGTTACTAGCATTAAATATGTCGTATACAACCAAATCTATTTATGAATTAATTAATAAGGGATTATTAATGTTAATCATATGGAATGATTCCAAAATTTTGTGCACAAATTGTTCTTTACAGTCAATAGAAATAAGAAATTGTTTAATATTTTTAACTGATTTATTCACAGAAATCATTTGCCTCTCACAAAAGCATTAGCTTCAAACAATTCCATTTTATGCTGTGTAAAGTATGGAATATTTTGACTCCATATCATCAGCCAAAAGAGATTATTTCTGAACAAATCTGCAAAGATTTTTGAAATCTAATTGAGCTTTATAAATATCTAGAGCAGTTATTAGTATTTATAAATATTGCATATTAATGAGACACAATAGCTTTCTGACGATGTATCTAATTAAAAAATACAAACCAGGGGACATGAAATTGATACTTAATGATTAATAATTCATATACCAAAGAATGCTTATAACTAAAATATATTTGTTATTGCAATCAATTTTAGACTAAAATCAATTGAGGATTGTTGCTAACTTTCAATTTCAAATTCATCAGAAAATACAAATACTCTATTGGTACATTTATATTTATTACTACTACTACTACTACCTTGGAAATGACATTCCACAGAGAGTTTGGGTTAAAATATATGAGCGTTCATATAATAAGTACATACATTTACTTGTTTGAAGATACCATTAACTGGGTAATCTGATAGTGCTAATAAAAGTTTAACATTCACTTAAATTAATCAAATGTACAGTGGTGTTTTGTTTAAAACATTATGTTTTCCTTTAAGATATTTAAGTTGCCTTTCGTTAGCTATATGGGAAAGTGCCTTTAAATAGATACTACTCATAAATTTAGTTATGTTGCACATACATCTCCTTAAAGATGCATTATGTAAGATTAAAATACATAGTTAGCCATTTTTGCTATAATAGTTCAAAAATAATGGATAGAGCAAAAATGAACATATTGAAAATTTCATTCAAATTACTTAATTCTGAGCGAAGTTATCACTGTTTGGAGTTTTGAGAAGATGTGGCATTGATTGTTTATTATCAGAACAACGGTACTTCGTCTTGCTTCTCCATTTTTAAATTAATCATTGAATGGCCGAAGCGTTCAAATCTACTTGAAATCGGAGCCTTACGATGGCCTAGAGAGTTGATTATGGGCATGTCATGTTAAAAGTTTAAATAAAACTTGATATAACATATGAAGCCACAATAAAGACCTGTAATAGGCAGATTTAGCTTTTACATAATGCATCTTTAATAAAAACTTGAAGAAAACAATATGTTCCGATTGTCACACATTGTAAAGAATTTCAGTTATTATGTGTTTGTTGAACCTATGTTGTAATTGTTATATATAGTGTACTGTTATCCTTATTGTTGCTGGATGTTCTTATATTTTATGTAAGTTATTTAATTAAGATAGATATAATCATTATTTGTTAATTAGTTCAGGTATCGTGTGCATAATACATGTCCATCTTATAGAAATCAAATCACAAGATGCGTGTACAGGTCTCTGCCTTATTTGTTTAGGTTCAAAGTCAAATACATAGAATAACATTCTAGACATAAATTTAATATTTATTTTTCTTCCACATTGCTGTGTGGATTTTTAAAGGAGCTAAAACCTCTTTGACTTACCTACAAAAGAAAGTTTTAATAAATTTTCCGTTCATTGATACATAAAGTTTGATATGTATATATCACATTTCTCTTTTACATTTAATTGCACTTAAACATTAAATTTTTACCTTAATAGCTATGACAAAATATATCCTTATAGTTATGGCATATTATATGTATTTGCTTGTCATTATAAAGAAATTAAGTCCAGCTATTTTGAATGTATATTATATCAAGATTCAAGCTAATATGATAAACACTATATTTTCTCTTTTTTATTTAAGCATCAAGTATTTCCATACCTCAGTATTTTGGTAAAAGGGGTATAGTTTATTTCTATAGATCTAGATATATTTTATATAGTTAAATTTAACATTTGATAGGTACTTTACATTCATGACATTTAATTCTTGTTATTACGAGAGCACATTGTAATAAGTCGTTCTTTAATTACAGATGTCTGATTTATTTTTATTCTGAAATTTGTATACATCAGATTAGGCTTCTAACTCCTTAGAAAAAGTTAGTTTCTAATGTTTAGTTAACATTCACAAAAATAAGAGCTTGGTTAACTATGTGCAAATCATTCATAGTATGTATAGGCAATACCTATTTATAAGATCACATTGACAAAAAACATAAAAGTCTGAATTTATATTTATCTAATTGAACTTGATCTGATTTGGACATTCTTAAAATAGAGTCTGGCTTAGATATTTTGTTGTTATTTTTTAGGAAAAAAAGTGTAATTAAATGAATTGCTGATCAATTAATGTATAATGCTCATAAAAGTCATTTTATTTGTAGAATTATACTATTTTGTTTCTATCTTATGCATGTTAAATCATTAAATGTAAGTTTATAACCACATTTAGTCCATCTTCCCACAGTCAAGATGTTCCCCATCTTGTAGCTTTATAAAAGCAAAATCTTGGCATGGGAATTTTTTTATCCTATTTATCCTTGTAGACAATTTATCCATTTTTTTTATCAAGCAGGCTTTAATCATTGCAGAGATCCTATTAATTTTACTGCTGCTGTGGCTTTCATGATGTGTTTTTGTTGGTTTTTTTGTACATCAATTACCAAGCTATTATTGTTTGAATAAAAAATGTATTTCATTTTCTGTTTACTTATAATCTTATCTGGGACTTCTGCTTGCAGTTAGTACAAATAAAATGTATAGGAAATGAAAGGGGTAGAAAAACTTTGTCAATATGTCTAACAACTGTAATTAAATATCAATAATACTATACATTATGCATGCCATTGGAGAAAAAAAAAATAAATGTACAAATTGAGAACAGACCTTGTCTTAGAATTCTTACACAGTGAAGAAGACAGAGTTATAGACACAAAAACTGAATATTGTATGTACCTGTAATTACGGTATGCACAGTTGATTTATCAGTGTGTGAAAAAGGTTTACTTAAAGGGACATTAGGTAAGATTAGATAAAGAGCTGACAGTTCTCGCTATAATAGTTAAAAAATAGATAATGAAAACAGAATATGCTGAAAATTTCAGTCAAATTGCTTCACTCTGAACTGAGATATTAGCGATTCAACTTTAGGCTAGACTCGCTCATCATTACTACCGTTGGTACAATAATAAACAGCCTAGATTTTTCATTTTTACGTTAAATCATCATAAAACGGATTCAAATCCACACCATATATTGCAGGCTAACGATGGCATCGAGAGTTGATTATGGTCTTGATAAGTTAATTAATGTCTACTTAATAATTTAAGGCCTAAAGAAAGATCTGCATTTGGCAGATTTAGCTCTTGCATAATGCATATTTAACCTCCACTTCACTGATAGAGCGGGAGCCCAGGGGGTCAACTTAGCTGAAAAGTGTACCAATTATCTCCTATATGGTATCAATGCATGCATATCTGGTATCATCAGAATGTAAGTCTGCCGGATTTCTGGTGGTGGGTGTGGTATTCCACGCCCAAAATGCCATGTCCCCCAACTAGGCTAGATTAGCTCAAAAGTGTACCACATGAAAATCGTACAGCAGTGTACCGTACATCCTCAGGTATTACAAAAACACTCTGAAAGTCATTTCTTGTGGTGCGGTACCCCTGACAGAGCTATGTAATTGCCAGACATTTGTAGTGGTGGAGTATCCCTGACAAGAGTTATCTAATTTCCAGACCACAGCTAGGCTAGATTAGCTGAAATCCATACCACCTAAAACAGCTTTGGAGTTGTTCAGTACCACCACAGGAATCATGAATGACTACTGCCAAACAGTTTGTGCGGTGGGTTACCCGCAACAGAATAGAATACTAATACCTAGCACATATGGAAGAGGTAATAAACTCCAAAGGTGGTACGGATTTCAGCTAATCTAGCCCAGCTAGGTTGACCCCCCTGGGTTCCTGGTCTATGAGGTGATATGGCATAGTTATAAGCAAAAGGGACACTATACGTGTGCAATATTTAGGTGCAAATTGTTCCAAAATCTTATTCTTGCTTTAAGAAACCACATTTCTTTTTATATGCCTACAATGAAATGTGGTTGTATATTGTCGTCAGTCGGTTTGGCGTTCACAAATGCTTGTGGATGCACTAAAAGCTAAAGTTAATATCCGATTGACTTTAAATCTATACGGTACACATTGTTTATGTTCATGAGACAAAGAGGCCTATTGATTTTCAACGATTTCCCATACTTATGGCCCTTGATATTAAATTTATGTATAGGCCTACTAAATGTTAGTAGCCTAGCCTATAGGACAGAACTAGAAGCAAAACAAATTCTAATAATTTCTGATAATAACATAATGGGTTGACAGTACTCATACTAAGATTTTCGTGTGTTGAAAATGTTTGCATTATTGACAAAAGAAAAAAATATGCGACAACCCTTGTTGTCCATTCAACTAAACTGCTGTGGCATGTTTCATTGCCTGGCAACCTGTCTTTTATTTACGCATCCAGACCATCCAGGGGTGGGGTTTAATGTCCATTCAACACTGACTAGGTCATTTCTGGACTAGCATATATTAATTTTATTTCAAGAATTCGCTTGTGCGTAGCCTACTGGTCTTTAGCAGTGGGAGAAAACCGCAATTTTGGTAAAATGGAGTGGGATTACAATTTACAAATACAATTACGTTTATTTTGGTCCATGATTCAGCAAAGAGTGACCGAAAAAGATATATATATTAAATATCCTGAGACTGAGAGTAGTGAGAGTGAGAGTCAATGAAAAATATTTCGCTAGATACAATCTGAAATGTATCAGCTGCCCACATTGCTCTATTGCATCTGCAGTGAATGCTGGTTGTGGTCAGATGTTGAGCAACAAATGGATGAACAGATTTTGGATTCATTTTACATGTTTTCTAATATTTCTTTTATTTGTGTTTCTCATTACTTTCGTCTGGATTGATGCCTGTGCTTTCCTTACAAAAATGTGAGAGTAGTTACAGGGTACATTCCCCTTACTCATTCGGGTGTCTACGGTTTGTTTATATTTTGTCGAGGTGTTTCTCAAATAAAGTCATTAGTCAATGAAAATCCTATTTATTAAATAAATAGGACTGTTTATTCTTTTCTAATGAAATGTTTGAAGGCCACCTTTCGATTTCGTCTGATATTGATATGGAATAAAATTCGCTGAATTTGCAATAATGATTCATTACACGAACTGTCACAAGTGAAAAATGGCGGTATTGAATCTATTCATTAGTAGTCAGTACAGTAAGCACGTGGATTTTTCTTTCTTGAAAAGGGATTTAGCAATTATCATACAGGGTAAGTAATTCGTGGATCATATGTTTTGTGTGAAAATGTTATTATTGACGTTACATAATCAAATAAATTGTATTCAAGTTATATTAAAATGATATTGACAAAGATAATATGCCAATTTCATGGCATTTATACATGCCATCCCATTTTATAATCCAACAATGCATATATATTATAGGCCTAGTACATTTTTTTTATACCGTACTGAAATGTGTTGATCAATTTTGGTGCATGTTTTTCATTTTACAAATGTAGTTTCGAAAGGAAACTTTTCCAGCTGCAGTCTCATATGCCCTCTGCCTGTTCATCATAGCATTTTGTACATAGAACCATAATAGCCTATATGGGTAGGGCCTACTATATTTGGGGTAGCATGATATATCCAAATTCACCATTATTTCAACTGATAAGACAATAATTTATATTGATATTTTATAGCCTACTATTAATACCGTTAATATTTATGCCAATGTCATTTTTGATTTACAATCGTAACGTTTTTGTGTCAAAATGCCCTGCAAAATGCGATTTCCAACCAAGCAAGTTGAAAGTTGTAATCAAATCCACCATTATTTTAACTCATATCACAATGATTTATATCGATATTTGAAAGAATACATTTCTTTATGCTAAATTGTCATTTTTAATTTAATATTGTAACGTTTTTGGTTCAAAATGTGATTTCCAAGCAAGCTTGGAATGGACATAGATACATAGGCGTACGAGCTGGGCCGCCCCCCCATTTTGGGCACCAAATGCTGGGAAAATTTGGGCACACAATTGTACTTTGTAAAAGTTGTATAAAAAAAATATTGTGTTCTTGAATGTGTCCAATTTAACAGCGAATTTATTATTATTATGTAACATACTAAGAACCTAACTACATTTTTTGGGCACCAACCACCACAGCCCCCAAGTCAAAAATTTCCCTGTACGCCTATGCATAGATAGGCTACATGTAGAGTGTGTCTAGTTTAGGCCTACCTTACAGTGTATTTTACACAATATTAACTTGAGCAAAACAGGAATGCAGTCACTTTTATTTTTCAAATGTAGATATTTTCAAACATTTCATACATGTACTTTGTGCAATATAATTTACTATATATTTTTTTTTATAAACCCAGGTTTTTTACTTATAAAATCCATAGGTAAGCCACCCCATGATTATATTAATTTGGGCACCGAAGGCATGATCTGCACAGCGAGGAGTCCAGGTGGCCTATTAGATCCCCGAAAATTTAAAAAAATAGAAGCCTGGAAGTGCCATTTCCAGTGATCTGAGACAAAAATCCAGTTCTAAAGTAATGAATGATAATGTTAGGGTTTTTTTTAGTCCAGCTGGGGGAGGGGGGGTGGTGGGAGGGGGTGCGTGCACCAGGTGCAACTCCCACTAAATCTGCCCTGGTATAATGGTTTCTTTCCAAAATAGTGCAATAACTACTTAACTACTTCTTCAGTTGCATAGTTAGTACCAATATTTTTTTATATAATTATGAAATAAGAATTAACTGTTTTCATTTAAATATGATTTTTAGCTGAGAGTTAATTTTATTAGATGTACTAAACCAACCTAACCTGAAGAATTGTGTTGCTTAAATTATTGGAGTTATTTCCCCTTACTTACCGGTACTTACAAAAGAACATGCGTCAACATTTGTGGAATGCTTGGATGATTGCACTGGACACCGTAAATATTTAAATCAAACACCAAAATGTGACAAATACTATAGTCTATTTAAAAATATATCTGAAAATTTCAAATCCAAAAATAGAGCCATTCAGAAATAATTGCTTAATGGTTTAAGAAATTTTATTCTTCAATTGTAGGATATTTATACTTGTGATTCTCACTTACCAATAAATAGGGTTATCTAGGTACTTATTTGAAATAGGTAACCCAACACAGAATCTGAAAGTTTGTAATATATTTTTCAAAAAATTACCAGAGACTTTCACATAATTGCACAGGAATATGATAAAAGTTTGCACCACAAATAAGATAAAAGTATTTCACCTCAGATTCAAAAATGATATAAATTATGAAAATTATTTAGATGCGATAAGAAATCCAAACCACAGAAAAGCACTAACAAATCTTAGAATAAGCGCACATAAATTGAAAATTGAAACCGGGAGATATTTAAAATTAGACGTAAAAGATCGTTTGTGTATTATATGGCAAGAGGTAGACGACGAAATTCATTTTTAACAAGTGCAAACGACATGACAAAAATAGAAAAGAACTATTCAAGTTAATTTTATTTGAGAGCCCAAATTTGTATAAAATGAATGTTTTACAACAATTTAAAATACTTATGATAAATAAAAATGTAGAAATTTTGAAATGTTTAGAAGCTTTTATATACAATTAGTTCCATGTCTCTAAAGTATATATGTTTATATAATTATGTACATGTATGTATCCTTTGTTTGGCTCATGTATATTTTTATTATAATTTTATTTGTATATGCACATAACCTTGTAAGGTTTTTTTATCGAGGACTTCTCCATTAAAAATCGTGGCTAGACTTTTGAATGTTTTTATGTTTATTTCTACGTTTTTAATTCTAAAAGAGAGGATTCAGCGACACAAAGGTCAATTTATTAGAGTACATTTATAATCATGTGTCTTATAGCAACCATCATTTGAATAGTGGAACCCCCAAGGTATGACAGAATGTTAGAGGTATGTAATTATGCCATTGACAACTGTTAGGGTTAATTTTAGGACTGAGAATAAATTGTACAGAAATAATTACCCTTGGTTAATCCATATTAAATCATACAAGGAATTTTAATCAAATTTTTAATATCTCACGTTATTTGTCAAGACAAATTAAATTTATCAGTTACTGAAGGTGCTCTGAGTCATTGTATGTCATAGCATAATATAGTACATGTATAACGGTTCTTTGTCTAACAGACTTGAGTTTTGTTTAATGCTCTATAGTGAATAATAATAGAGTTTAAAATACAAAAGAAATGGGGTACATAACCTCGCAGTTTGAACATGAAATTGGAGACATCTTTAAGTCAAATAGGTTTGTTATCCTCTTCATGGTAGGCATGATTTCTGTTCAAGCTGAGACAGGATTAAATACAAATGGCACCTGTAGAAGAATTTGAGTATATGTATAAAAGATGTAAAGACCTGTTAAGGACTATGATAGACATAAGTAGTAATCACATAACTCATCCATCACTTATTGCCAACCATAGTTTAATTATTATATCCTGGTATCAGTTTTCACAAGGTTAATATCAATAATATCATGTTTTGGTGTAACAACCTTTGAGCCAAATGTTAAAAATTATTGTTTCTTATACTTGTAAACATTTAAGAATTTTGTCTATTTGTGGACCTATTGTAATCATTTTATGTTTTGGTATGAATTTATTCAAATTTTATTGGAAGTAATATGATCCTATATGATTTGATGTGTAACGTGATGGGACAGGTAGGTCCAGATCAAGACGTATCATTATCCCTGTAGATACACATCTTTATATTTTTTCTGTATAATAGTTTCATTAAATAACCCAGGTTCTTTTTTGTATCTTTATAGTTTCAAAAACAATTTTTTTTATAAGAGATTCAGGATATAGTCTCTTGAATATAATGTCAAATAATTTATTCATGATTGTATTTTTTTTTCCAATTAGTTTTATCTAGGTTTTGACTGAACATGTAAATTATAGTGTGGGTGTGTATGTACTATTTACTGGATATATTTGATTATAAAGTTGTTGTCAAGTTTATGTACTTTTTGAATGTTGCCATGAGAAAGTTGCCAAATAGTTTCCAGTTTTACTTAAAAGTTTTGGGAAAAGCAAGGTGTCAATGTTTATGAATAATAATAATAATAATCACTTTATTTCAAAAGGGTAGAAAATTAGGCCTGGGGCCTTTCTTACATTTTGCCCTTTTAACAACACCAAACATGCATAAAATCCGGAACGTTGTGACCAAATTAATATCTTATCGAAAGGTTATTGATCCTAAACCTGGTTACCCTATAGATTTGGGGGAAAGTATTTTAGCCGGCTGTCTGAAAATCTACAGTACCAGATTGAGTTCAGTAAGCATTCAGTCAGCTGGTTTTATTTACCAAGTCATATAAAGTTCAATCCTCTGTCTGTTAACCCAGGCTTCCATATGAACAGCATTCTTACAATTACTATATATAACAGACATAACTATAGCACGTTTCTACCACTTACTAGATATCTTTATCCTCATTAAAAAATACAATTTATTTCATCAAATACAGTAATTAAACCTAGAGTATATCTCAGATAATGAAATTTTACAATTCTTAGAAATATCTGTTGGTTTTCTCATGGTATTGTTTTAAAATACCAGTGATCATTGTGCCTGCTTGATATTTGGGGAGCTTGGGGGTTTTCCCTGTAATGATAAACAAATGACCAAAACAAAATTTCAACCCAAACACCAGAGAATTTGTATACTGATACTATGTGATCAATAGATTTTTAATGAAGACAGTACATGTAATTTTTGCATTTGATTTTTCATTCTATTATCAAAAATATTAAGGATGCTGAATTAATGTATTTGATATAAAACAGGTTGTTCTTATCGAAATGAACAGTTAATTGACTTGAAATTATGGTGTATGTTTACCCTGTGACCGAGACCCAGAAGTTTAACAAACTTTATTTTATACATTTATTGCTTCTGAACATACCCACTGCCCACACAGTATGAAGTGGGTCACATCTTAACTAATCCAACTGCGCATTTCCATATAGTCCGCATACAATACAACTTCTAACAATAAATGCAGAATACTACAGCCTCAACAGGTATTAAATACACATTGATAAAAGCATGTAAGACAAAATGTATTCTTCAAACATTTGTAAGATGAACATATTTTATTGTTCACTGTGCTGAAAAGAGATCATGAGGAGTAACTAAAGATTTCTTTTAATGAACTCAACAATTCTTACTCCTCCCCGTGCATGACTTAAAAAA